TAATTTCGACAACCGCCCATATACCTTGAATCATAACATTGCCCCTTGATGATTAGAGGTCAAATCCATAATTAAGGGGTATTGGGCTCTCTGTTCTATTCAGGACACACAACTAACAGCTTTTTTTCCCACCCGCCCAGCTGACAAAGTCGCACCGCAGGGAATTCGCCCGAAACTTAGCCACAGAAAAGTATGCAAGCCCTGGGTCCAAGAAGGGACTTCCCAAATCTCTTCCACGCCAACACCAAGTACCAAACACACAGAAAGGAAACCCCTTCCGAACTCGCCGTGCCGTCCACCTACACTGACGCTTGCACTAGCACTACGCTACAAACCAAAGTCAGCAAGCGTTGCTCTGTAGCAGGACCTTGGGGCATCACTCCCTGCTTTCTACATGTTGTACAACTGCTCCGCAAGCCCCAGGTGAGCTGAAGTCTGTGGGACGGGGACATTCAGGCCAAGATCGTCTTGGAGAAGCGGAGTGTGCAAGGATCAAGACCACACTCCGGAACCCTCCGGTTGGCGAGACCCACTTCGAAAAGAACCACCAGAATCCGCATCACCGGAACTACCCTCGGCCTCATCCAGAAGCATGTAGCCAAGCACCACCGCCACCGATCGATTTCCACCAACGAAGCAGTGGACAAGGACCTGCCACGTCCAGACTTACCTACAGCTTCGGGGTCGACATAATTCGCAGGCAATTCGTTCGCCAATCCGAGTCGTACCAGCGATTACTAGCACGGTAGCGGAGCAAAGGTCTGAGCCAAAAGCTAGGCGCACCAACTCCCTCCCACACACATACCTGAAGAAATCCGACAACCCGGGCTTTGTTGGAGGAGAGGAAGACTACATGCGGAGCGCTCCCCGCCCGGCCGTGTCTTCGGAAGCCAAAGCTTCGGCCAGCCAAGGGCGAGCGGCTTTCAGGGCCACCAGGAGGTCCTTCCGGGGAGCTTTGGGGGGCATCGAAACGTGCAGTTAGAATTGCTGCTATACAGGCAGGTTGAATTCTGCACTTTCGCATGGTCACAACATCCAACAACATGGTCGGAGCTATCCAGACTGTACCGTCAACGAATGCCACCACAACCCACTTTCTGAACCGTTTGTTGTTGAACGACTCACCTCTGAGAGGTCGTCGTGCATCGGCACATGGTGCCAGCGGATGCCTCAACTGCGCAACCCTCGACTCTCTGCTATCGTACGTCGCGCACTGTGAAGCTGCAAGGCGCGGCTAGAGGGGGCGTCGGGCCGGGTTCACCAGTTTTGAAGCAGGAAGCATGCAACCTACAGTGTCTGTTGCAGACCAGCGACCGATCTTGCTGTACATCTCCTGTCCCACAGCATGGCTTCCCGCAAACTCCGGCAGTAAACGAACGTTATGACATTATATGCTACCGAACCCCTCAGCCGAAGGCCTTTCAGGCCTCCTTCACGGCTTCTGCCGAAACCTCTGAGTGCATGATCGAGACTGCACTGCAGCCTGTGCTGGCATCAATAGCGACACCGCGAAACAGTTCCCTCCAATAAGCTCAACCGAAGAAAACTGCCTCAGAAAATCCGTGATGCAGGGCCTACCCCAATCAGGGTCACACAGTTTGTCTGTGTGAGTCGTGTCCTGATTACACACTTGTGCCAATATATGAACCTGCACATGGCCGCAAGACCGCAAAACACACGAAGCCTTGGCCCTGCCTGGCAGCGCCTCAGCGGCGGTTCCTCTGTGCAGTTAAGAACCGCCGTGACGCCGCTGGACAACAGAAGCTCTTCGTTGCCTCCATGTGGATAGCAGTGAGGAGCTGAAACAAAAGACTGTCCCTGCTGCTTCAGATGACCGCTACTTTTCTACGAGCTTAAAGGCTCCGGCAGCTGTTAGCTGTAAATAACTCCCTGAGGCTCTTACATAGCTTCCAGCCTGCGTCTTCCTCGCTGCCTATGAGCAAATGACCCGGTCCACTTCGTGGAACCTGGTCAGGGCCAAAAGGTGAGAGAAAAACACCAGTGCCTCGGACGATGACGACCAGACGCTACATGATGCTGCGAATGATCAACGCGGGGAGTTTGTGTACCCTGGCAGGGGCGAAGAAGACTTCATCTGCTCCACCATACCCAATGCTTCAGGCTTTCGATCCCTGTCCCTGCCTTCGCAGGGCAGCGCAGCAGCTCGCCGTAGTCGTCGAGCAGCTCAGCTCCCAGGTTTCTCGCGCACTCGGGCAGCGGTTGCTCGCTTTGGAAGGGCTCAGGGAGCTGCAGGGAAACACTTAGCGTGTTGACTGTCAAGTTGGACTAAGCAGACCTCAGCAGGGTCACTGCATGCCCTAGATCCGAGGAGTTGCTAACTTAGCAGGAACAGAAACTTAGCAGTCATTGTGTGTCATCGTGGACATAGTTAGTGCTGCTGTGCTTCTACCAGCTCCATTTACAGTTCGTAGTGTTTTCATGCTTTCAGGACCATGTCTTTTTTTAGGACCATGTCGCTTTATCCTCCGCTAGGCCCCTGCAAAGGATGTAAAAGGTCCTGGCAGCCAGACGAATGGTGGTTTCCATGGCTGCCAAAGCCTCCCAGCCGAGCCAAGGTGCAGGAGGCTCAACACACAAGCTATGTACTGCACATAGGTCACAAGGAGGCCTCGTACAGAACTTGAATGACAGTTTTTGGAGCTGACACGCCCAGCACGCACCTCCCGCTCTTCCTCCCGAGCCCAGCGATCGGAGATCAGCTGCCAAGTCTCCTGGGCTTCCCATGCATTTGGGAAACTGCTCCGCTGTCCAGCGGTTGTAGGTCTTCAGGGTGTCGAGGTGTAGAGTCGGGCTTACGTCTCCGCGGAAGAGGGGGGGGAGTGTGCACGGCTTTTGCTCGACTTAAGCACCTACCGAAGTCATTCATGGCTTCAAGGCACAGATCTCTCCACAGCACGCTGTTGGGCAACTGAGAGACAAGATCGACTCCCTCGCACTGATACACATCGTGCAAAAGTGCCCTGGAAAGAATGACTGCAGCAGGACGCCCGATGTTGCCGGAGGGTGGCCTCTGTCGCCTGCACATGCTTCGATTGGAACCGAACGGTCCAAAAGCGAACTTGCCGAACATCCTCAATCCGAATACTACCGGGACAGCGCCTGGTGCAGGCCGCCGTCCGCAGTTTCGCAGAAAGCCACGACATCATCCTTGCGATAGCTTCGGGACTCCATGTGTTCAGCAGGCATCCACATCTAAGCTTGGACTTCAGTACTGGATCTCCAAGTGTTCTCCATCTTCAGCGCACAGCAAGAACCCAGAAGTTGTTATGGACCCTCGCTAGGGGAGACATGATGAGCAGCGGGTGCCGCACCAATCTCAAGAAGGATGGATGCGACTTCAACCCGTGTCAAAGTATAGAACTCTATGTTGTCGAACTTGGCTTGAATTGTAGTGCCATCCTGCTCGCCCGTGTTCTCGGCTTCCCAAGCTGCCATCCGCGCTTCGAACGCAGAGACACCACCTTGATGATTTCAGCGGATGTGGACAGCAAAAGGCAACGCGAGTTTGCGATAGTGCTCTGAATAAGTGGGCATGGCTGCCGTGATGGGCCGAGCAGGCTAAGTGAGTGGAAAGAACTGAGACCCCCATGGTACAACTGTACAACCAAAGTAGCCCGAAACGTCCATCCCGGAATCAATAGTTGACCCTCTTCCTGCTGAGTCTGGAAACAGAAGCTCAGGCCATGGCCATCTGAGGAACTGGAGCCGGAAGAAGCCGCGTCTTCCATCTCTAAGCTCTGGCGGTTTGAGGGAAATCTTTAAGGAACAGGGAGGTCTGACACTCACATATCTACTGAAGGTCTGTAGTCCTGGGGTGGCTTTCACATGCCGCCCAAACAGGACCTGCTCTTGGTGCATGCGAGGGGCTCGAGCCTCCTGCAGGTTTCAAGCGCCTTAAACTTTCCTTTCTACATGGTAACATTCGACTACCTCAACTGTCAGCACCCCTCTCCCACCAGAACCCCCGCAAGTCAGCTGCAGAGCTGCAGCAACCGTCAACACCCAATTCGAAACCCTCGTCTCAACTCCCCACGGGGTGAGTCGAGTCACGCACACATCCTAATTCCTATTCCGTGCGCCTTATCGTTCATCTTACCCACCCCCCAATGCCCGCCCCCCCTGCCCATCCATGTTTTGTTACAGCTGGCCACTGTCGTGCCAGAGAACCTCGATCACATTGCCCACGCCGGACAGAACTGAATTCACGTTGTACGAGGTCAACAGATCTCCCGGCTCGGCAGACGCCAGGAGGTCATCATCAGATCTAGAACCAAGACTACCCACTTCTACAATGCATTCGTCTTGAGCCAACCGGTGCTGTGAAGACCACCTGGGCATGCCAATACCACATGAACAAATTAAAGTGGGCGCTCGCAGTCGGAGCCCGGGCTGTTCAACAGTGTCTACATGACATCATTAACGGCATTTAAAGAAACATGCTCACCGCACATGCTGGCGGCCCATAGCATGGAAACGGAAGCCTGCCAGGCAAGATGAAGCCGATTTCAACCCCGGTCTCCGGCCAGACACAACCTGTGAACTTCAACATCCTGGGGTCCGAGTAACAGATTGAAACACAAGTCGGCTCTTCCCCAAACTCGAAGACGAAGACGAGTCAGGCCAGAGACTTCGCTGAAAAGCAGCAGCCCTACTAAACTACGCTACCATTGGTACAAGACCGGAGGATTCCCCCGGTGTCAGGAGGTGAGACATGTGCCCGGAGTCGGGAGTTGCAACCCGGAGCACGCAGACTGTACCAACAACTATGTCTCAACAACGACCAAAAAAAGCAGGAAAGCCTGACGAAGAACTATCATTAGATAAGATTATTTGCCCATAGCATGCAATCCAAAGTCGGAATGGCACCACTCAGCCGATGCTGGCTCAGGTTTTCGGGTCTTGTGTTCGGGGCAGGCTTACGGCATGTGATACTTATGGTCAGCCAGTTAAGAGACCAGTCTGCGCACCGAGCCGAAGTATCAGCTATCACTACTCCATGAATCCTCGTCGTGGTCGCCTCTTCGCTTGCGGCCATGCATGATTTTGGCCTTGGCCCCAGCAGAAGTCTGACATCTGTCATGCAGCGAGAACATACCGACCAAGAAGCCACTAAGCCAACGACAGAAGTCTACAGTGCAGCGAGGGTGGAACTCAAAGTCATGAGCAGGCACCCTGCGATTCCCGATGCTATTACGTCCTGCCCACAGAGACCAGCAAGTGCTTACTGCATGTGGCATTGGATTTTGTGCTAAAGCTCACTTCGCCCGAAAGTCATCATAATGTAAGCCCGAGAAAGCTGCAGCCGGCATGCCAGACGCTTGGTCTTCTCGTCCAGGCGGTCAGACCACTTCATGGCCAGCTGGATCCTCTTGTGAGTCAAAGGTCTCGGTGGCTCCGACTCGTTCCGTGCGGCTCTCCTCTGAAGCCTCATTTCTCGAAGACCCTCAACCCAGAAATCTTCCCCGCGATTCGGCCTTGTCCGTGCCCCCGGCACGGCGGTGGTCGCCGCACTCGGCACAGCACCGCTGAGCCGGAGTGTTGGGGACTCCTGCTTGCGATGTAAGCGTATTCCGCTCTGGGCAAGTGGTCATTGCACTTTCGCTAACACGAGGATTCTGCGCCATGTGCTAGGGAAGTCTTTTGTGGTCTCAGACGACACTGGATAGTAGGTGCCAAGGCCTGCCGATTATGCGTCTCTTGCAACGAATGCGTGGGACAACAACAACCTCAATGTGCCCCGTGCCCCTGAAACGCTGCAAGGGGAAGCCGTTGCAAAATTCCAACCGAAACTCAGCTCATCCACGCCGCTTAACCAGATGGCGGTACACTACTGAACAACTTAATCTGATGTTCGAGCCGGCATATCTGAACAACATGTACCAAAATCGCGTGATCATGCTCAGTTCTTGTGCAGCCACTCTATTCCAAACCCCACCTGTAATCCCTCCCGTGCTGATGTGTACGGTAGCACAATATCTTCCTTCATATGAGCAAGTATGTGCAGACATGCACATATTTCCAGCAGATGCATATACATACATATAAAGAATAGATGTATGTATGTATGTATACACATGCGATGAGCATAATCGAGACATCTTGTTTCATATGGTAGCCTGGAAGCTCACTCCAAGCACCGAAGCTATGCGGAGCCTGGGAGCGGTCTGGGCTCGGCTGGGGCGTCGTGGCTGGAGACCACAAGGGCGGCCGCGGAGGGAACTGCCTCCGCGGTTTAGGCGTTTTTTTGCGCCTCCTGCATAGGGTTTAGGGTTTACCTTAGGGTGTAGGGTTTGGAGCTTAGGGTTTGGAATCACAAGGGTTCAGGGGCTTTGTTTTAACTGCTCTTGGGCCGGAAGGTTTGGGAAATTCAAGACAACTGCTTCGGCCCGCCATCTTCGATCTTCCATACATCTTAGAACGTAGACCTTTCTGGACGGGACTGAACCGCAAGCTGCTCTCCAAAAGAAGTTGGAGTAGATGCAAAAAGCAATGCTGCAGTCCAGAAGACTGCTGCAGACTTTTCCGAGCGAGGCTCGATACATGTCCATGCGAGTTGCTGTGCGAAGAGATCTGGACTAGCAACTTAACAATGTAAAGCAAGCCTAAGCCTGACGATTTCCTTGCTGGCAAAGCAAGCTCGTTTTGGAAATCCTCCTTCCGTACCCCATCCGGTCACAACCACTAAGGGCAAAGGATAAAGGAACCGAGAAGTAAAGGGTAAGCTTAGGGGTCTGTGCATTGCTGCTTGCCCTCTGGGCCTGCGACCGGTCCACGCCCGTGCACGAACATGCACGGGCGTAAGCACATGGTCGACAACGCCGGCGGTACAATACTTGCTCACACATAAGTCCGACAGAAGAGCAAGATCAATGTCAGTCCCGATTGAACCATTCGCCCCGTGTCTCTACTTCCCTTGCAGGGGCTAGGGTTTGTAACCTTCACTCCGGCAAAGCCTGGGGGGGACGTCCCCCACCTCGGCGGCGAAGTCGCGAGAGACGTGGCTGTAGCAGTGCGCTGCGTTTCGGCGAGGCGGGCCTAGGGTAGAAATCATCAGTCGTGACACATCACCATGATTACTTATGATACTAGGTTTTCATCTGTTACATTATGTTATACTGTGTTATATTATGTTGTATCTCTTTCTGTTATGTTGTGTTATGTTATGTTTCATAGTCAGTAGCCTTGCATGCCGTGATCCCAAAATCCAGTCCTACTGACTCCCTTCTGTAGCGGATGCCTTCAAATCCGGCTGCGTCAGCCTTCATGCCACCAAAGGTCGCTTGCCGGACTGCGAAACGGTGTCCAAGATAGAACCTCTGAAACAAAACATGGCGCACAGTACCGCAACACAGCATTGTTGCACTTCGGGAGCCGAAATTCACGAAAGCTCAAGTGGACAGCCTAAGCAACAACTTTTCAAAACGGAAATCGTGCGACCTCCCGACACTACTTCGAAATAGCAAGTCCAAGAGGACATCTGTCATTGGCGATGTTCTCGTCGTTGCGACCCAGTTGACACACTACATATCTCCGGGCACGCATGCACTATTCGATCTTACCTGCACCCAAGCCCAAAGCTCAGCAGCCTCAAGAACCCTCGCTGCACGAAGTCGAAACCTGAACAGAATCCATTGCCTCGGACGCAATTGATGAAGACCAGGTCGTCTGGCAAGCGGCCTGGTCAAGACAAGCCGAGTAGATTGGGCCTTACATGGGCCTCACACAAGACCTGTGGAGTCGCTCGCCAGCGGCGCATCTTACAAGGTTCCAAACCTTGCAAATCACATGCCTCCGACATGGCCGTCAGGGCGGTTGTCGGTGCTGTCTGGGCTGTCTCCGGCGACTTCCTGCAGTGCTACAGGTGCACACGCAAAGACTGCTCAGCATTCCGCCGCATTGTAAACCTGGGTCCCAACGTCTCCTTCCTCTTCTCAGCACCGAAAGGCCGTGCCTCCCAAGGCCCAGGGAGGTCTTGGGCAGCTCCGTGGGCGCCGGACTGTGGAGGGAGATGGGCTCCTGATCTCAGCTTTGACTCTTGCGGAATACCCCTTCAAAGCCGGAAGAAGCCCAAGAGGAAACTGTGCAAAACCCCTGACAGGAACAGCGTAAACCTTAAAAGAAGCTTATTACAAAAAACCCTTCAAGGAACCCCTGAAAAAAACTTATTTTAGAAACCCCTTCAAGGAACCCTTAAAAGGGAAGATCTCCTGGAGACCGGACTCCCTGCAGCGGCCCGCGGAGGTTTCGGCGCCGAGGCTTCTGGACTCCTGGGACGCAGCGCGGGAGCCCTAGTAGTTTTAGGGTTTAGAGTTGAGGGTTTAGGGTTTGGGGTTTAGGGGTTTAGGGTTTAGGGTTTAGGGCTGAGGGTTTAGGGTTGAGGGCTTTTTATTGAACGCCTTTTTCCATCTGCTAGAGCTCTAACGTCCGGAATCCACCATAGTGGAAGGCTGCTTTGCTGGCCTTACATACCGCTAAAATTTCGGGGTTTAGAGTTTAGGTCTGTGTGTTTTTTAGAGGTCCCTTTTCCTTTCGCCGAGGTCCAGAAACTGGTCTACTGCTGGGCATACAGCTCTGTAGTAGTTACGCTCTCGCAACTCGGACAAGCCAGACGAGGTTCTTCGGTGCGCGTCGGTGCTACAGCTAGCTTCGCTCAAGCCTTCTACAGAAGCAACAGACGCAAGTTAAGGCCACGAAGGACAGGCTCAAGCTCGGCTAGCACAGGAACTTACATGGGCATTTGCCCAGCAAGGGCAGTGCAAAGTACTCCAAAATTTTCACTAGGAAAATGTCCCTAGGTAGCGGGATCCCAACAAACACAGCAGAACAGAAGTTAAGGCCATGCAGTACTAGTTAGGGTTTGGGTTTAAGGGTTTGGGGCCTAGGGCTTAGGGTTTAGTTCGTCGGTTCCTGAAACCTTCAAGGCTTCCTTCAAGAGTTCCTTTGAATCCACGGCTTCTGAAAAGGCTTAGGAGTGTGCAGGAGCTTGGTGCTTTATGGGTTAGGGTTCTGGACCGGCATAGAAGTTCAGAGTGCTCTGGTTGTTTTATGTTTTTTTTGCCTTGGCACACTTCTATGTGTGTCATCCTTGCGCAGGGGCATACTAATCTTCTCGGCATCGTCCCAATTTTATCGGAGGATTCCCTTCGGTTTGGGGGGCTTTAAACCTTTAGGGTTCCGGCGTCGCAACTCAGACAATCCAGGCGAGGTCTGACAATAAGTCTGCTAAGGTTGATGGCTTGGGGCTTCACGGTCTAAGGTTTAGGGGTTTCGACGTTTCGGGGTTCAGGCTTTGTTGCAGTTTAGGGTGAATGAGGATGTAGGGTAATTCGGCAGAATTACCGTCATGCGGCGGGTTAAGCTCTCAGTTTCAATTTCTGCAAGCATTTCTCGCAGCCATCATCTGGCCCTTGTGCTGCACGACAGGTTTCGGCCCGTCGCAGAGTTCAAACGCCGAATCCAATTTTATTTGTTGGGAATCCAAGCCTAAGCTAATACCAAAATGTGACTCACGAGGGTTGAGGGTGAGGAGAACAGCGCTCAACTAGCCGGAAAAATCTCTGATGCCTTACTTAAAGGCTTATGGGACTTAGTACGGTTACAAATAGGTTATAGTTAGGATAACCCACTTAGGGGACTTATAACCCCAAATATGACCTACTTACTAGGTCCCATGATCCTGAACCCAAACCCCGAAACCCCTAAACCCTAAAGCCAGCCAGGGCCTGGGCGTCTGCGCTCAAGGAAACGGGAAGTGGACCGCGGCCGCCCAGTGCCAGGCCGGAGGGCCTCGGCGCTTTCGTTCGGCTCAGCCTTGGGCTCCTTCAAGGAGTTCCTTTAAGGGATCCATAAGGGTTCTATAAGAGGGGGGGTGGTTAGGTTACTTAAAGGCTCATGGGACTCAGTAAGTAGGTTGTAACACTGTTGTAAGTTGGGTTATAGGTCCCCTCAGTGGGTTATCCTACGTAATTATAACCTACGTATAACTTTGCTAACTGAGTCCCTTACGCCTTTAAGTCTGGATCAAGAGTCACAGGGATGGCGTTGCTTCATTGGAGGAGGGTCTGAAGTGGGGGGTCCAAGCAGCAGGAGGCCTCCTGCAAGTTTCGAGGAGTGTGAAAAGCCCTTGCAACCAGGTTGCTTGCCCTCGACGAGCTGGGCCCATCCCGGCTCTGGCTCCAGCGTGCTGAGCAGGCGACCACTTGCTTGGATTGGCACGAGGAGGTGCCTGACATGATGGCATGAATCCTACATGTATCTGCATAAAGCTGAAACAGCACCAAACGCATCTAATTACACAGCCACTCCACCGGCCCGACCTCTTTGAATGCACACGGAGGGAACATGTAGGTTGTTTTTCATGTGCACTTGCGCATAGAAGAAAGTGCTGCCTTCTTCCAAGGTAGCGTTAACAGTTGGTAACTCGGCAGGCGAAGATGGAGATTCCGATTATCACACACTTCAACAAAGGTGTGCTCAAGACCACGGGTGAAATCCGAATCTGCAAGCACGAGATTCCACCAAAAAAGTGTGCCTACAGTACACGCAATACACGAACAGCAGCCCAAGCCCTCGAGACGAATTCTCAAAAAGGCCCAAAGATCACCTCTCTGCAGCCAGGGCGCTGCGGCGTGGCCTCTACGACCTTGGTCCGGGGTGGCGGTGCTCCAGCACCCTTGAAGGCCGAAACCTTGCAGAAAAAGAGCAAGTGCATCCGAATCTGCTTTCTTTAAGGTGGTTTACTCGAACTTGGGTTGCTGAAAGCCTCGGGGTCGTTGCAAGTCTGTGCACTTTTTGAAAACGATTTATTTCTCAAGGCCACAGAGCCTTGTTGACATGTTCCTCACGCTGGGTACCACCTCTTTCATATTCTGCTGTGTTCCGGAAGTCACACACTCAAGCCGTCAACGATGGAGCCCCACGTATGAAATCACACAACTGGGTCTACAAGTACCTAAGCAGCTGCCCGGCCAACCTGCACAGGCCGCCCTCTTGCTGGCAATTCTCGGGTCGCCGTTCGCGCCTTTCAGGTCGGGAGATGTGCGAGGAAATGCCTTCGGCAAACCAGCGAGGCATGCGATGTAAGTGCCACGGTCATGGTTCGTGGGTGGGTAAGTAGGCAAGTAGGTCGGTCGGAAGGTAGGCAGGGACCGACCCAAGCTTGTCACCACTCTCGCGGCATGTGCAGTCCAGTGGACCTGAAGACTTGAAGATCTTCGAGAGTGATCTTGCGAAATGTTTGGGTTTCAAGCCGTCGCAGATGCGCATCTGCGCAGTAGCTCACCAACAAGCACTCGCACAAGCCCGAACCTGCGAGTCACCCTCCGGTCTGCGGCTGTCGTCGGCATCGGGGCCACCGAGGGATTCCTGCCGCTGCGAAAGAGAATATCATGATACATATTGCTTCAGCGTCAGTCGCGCAGCAGCTTTCAATACATTTTCTATTGCATTATATTGCATTCCACCTTCCACATGCTTTCGTGCTGCTTCCCAAGGTACAAAGAAAGGTACTTAGAGGAGACAACGCACAGTAGTGCATCAGAATGAACATCGGCACCGGGCGACCTCGCACGCGGGTTCCGGCTCGTCGGGCAGCTCGCGTGCCGACTCCTGGCCACGGCAAGTCGCAGGTTAAAACCTTGGGGATCCCTGCAGCTAGACTGTGAATGTCTTCTTCCATCAACGCATTTAATGGGATGCGCACCCCTGCCACGGTGGGTTTGTTCCAAGTGCCGGGCCTCGAACGCAGGGGTGCCAAGCAAACAAAGCAAGAATTGAACTGCAAAAGCAGACTTCCCAGTTACTGGGAACTTCTCTGATCCGAATTTAGTTAAGCCTCCTCAACATGCACTCCACGCCGGGCTCCTTCGAAGAGGGAGATTCCACGCCATGGCCGGAGAGCAAGGGAAAGCCAGCACCGTCCTTCGAGTCGCCGAGTCAAGCCGACTCAGCAAAAGGTGTTGTTACAGACTAGAAGTCGCCTTATCTACGAATGCCCTCCCCGAAAAAGCACGTTTTGGATCATCCTGATAAGCCAAAGGCTTAGCTTCAAGTTCCGTTCAAACTTGCGGGACTTGCGTAAACCTGAAACGAGGACACCACGCCAACTCTCAATGCGCCCAGTGCGGCTGTGGATCCCGGCCCAGCTACACTTTCATTTTCCGATAAGGACAAGTCTTGCTTAATTTGCCGCAGACTGCACTTCACGACAGCACGGCACACATGCTGCTGAGCCTCGCTTTCCTTTCTGCTTTCCTCATGTGGCGCCGCGTCGGTCTCGTCGACGTCATCCGCTTCGCCACTCTTCTTGAAGGTGTCGCTAGGAGCCGCATCCTGGCTTCATCCGACTTCTCCCTTCGGCACACATGAAGAACAGAACTTCTGACACTCCTCTTTATAGTACATTTACATTGAAGGACTTGAACAACCACTGCGAGGATTCGGAGCTTGAGGCTTCAAAGAGCAAGAGATGATTCGCCTCGCTGGGTCATGCTACGGACAACTCTGACACGCCATGGTTCCGACTTGTCGACACCGATTCTTGCCAGAAGCGAGTGCTGCAGTTGATCCAGCTCAGCAATCCTGTCCGGGCAGTTGGGGTTTCTGAGTGCGGGTCAGAAGATTACACGGAAAAATGCTTGTGGGTCGTGGCTCTGGGCGGCGCTGCGGTATTGCGTGGAAAGACGACAGCATGTGCTCAGTGCTCCCCGCCCGCTTCTACGTGCGAAGGATCACCTGTCATGCTATTCGAGGCTCCTTTGCGCAAGATCTCCCCGAAGCTGCGCTGCTGGGGGCAGCATCTCGTCTGCCTGAGAGTTGCAACATGGATGCAGCTTGGGATTTAAACCGATGCCAGAAGACCGCAACATGAACAAACAGCTCGATTCCATCCTGCCGCCGTCGGATCATACGTTCAGGCCCGTGGCTATGAACATTTGAAGAGGCAGGCCGGCAGCTTTGCTGGCGACGACCTCGCTCTGTCTGTCTTTAGTCTTTAGCCTGCAGCTCTTTCAGAACCTCTAGGATTTGGGAGAAAGCAGCACGTCGGATAAGGAGGTCGATGGGACGGGTAGTGGTCTGATACTCTGCATTGCGGAAGCCGCAAGGAGGACACATGTCACCGGCGTCGGCATCGGGTTGGGGCCTCTGTCGCCTCGGCCTCTGCTGGCAGAGGGTCCTTCAGGGAAGTGTCACTGTGCCGAAAAAGCATATTATAGGCATCATGGTGCATCCATAGCCATGCCCCAAAATTCTTTCCCGTGGAGTTACTGCATAATAGGCCCGATCCTGTTCAGCAGTTTGGGATGGTTTCTTGCGTTCTCGTTGCTGCGAGTTTCGATGACTCCACCGGCCGTAAGGCCCCGAGTACTGAACAAGGTCGAACCTGAAAGCTCCTTTCGCATCTATCCAGATTAACATTCCATCTAGAAACTTGCTCCAGCAGGCAGATTCCAGCCTTGACATCCCTGGGCTCTGCCGCCGGCCAGGATGCACGGTGTGGAGACTCCCTGAACGGCGAGTCTGCCGCCTCTGTGGCCGGAAACGAGCCCAAAGCCTGCAGCTCAAAGACATATCCGAGGCTCGAAGATTGCTTATTCTCAGGGGACGGGTGACCAAAAGAGACTTCTTGCACAAGGCGCACACACGCAGCCTGTCAAGTAGCTTCGTCGGTCTCGTCCAGGCGAGTCGTGGCTGCAGGCTTGGTCATCAAGCTGGTCAGAGGCGAGTCCTGGGAAGGAGCTGCAGCAACTCGAGCAAAGGAGCACGCGGCAAAGCGAGCCACGCGAGCCCCAGTGTGCTGTGCTACCGTGGGCGGGGCAACTAACTGTGTGTGTGTGTGTGTCAGAAACACGACAGCTTGTTGGAAACAAGGGACGTCAAGACCGCCAGCATCAAGCGACAGGCGCTGTGTCATTGATCTCCGTGCGGGCGAAACCTGTGGATCAGCTCCATGTGCACAGCTAACGAGCAGGAGCAGCAAAACCGCAGATGTCGTCACCCCACTATATGGCGAGCAAGATGCAGCAATTTCAACCGATGAACGGCTAAGCTACGAATCGGATCTCCTGCACCGTAGAAAACCGCTTCTGCGGTCGGAGCAGACTCGCGAAGCAGACGCAGTCCATCCCAGGGCTTTTTAATTCTAGTCTCGCTTTCCTGGCCTGATGTACCAGGACAACAGACGAAACAAGGGTAACAGCCTGGGCTGGTTCGGGCGTGTCAAGGTCAATATGACCTCCGGCACGGCAACTCGGCGGGAGAAGTTACGTCCCACTCGACGCCAGAAGCTCACCATGAGCCGCAAGCTGCGTTCAGAAACCGTCGCGACTTGCTGCACCGTGCTGACGCCTGTCCGGAAAAGCTCCTCTTCCCTCGGCTCTCCCCCGTGGCTGCCATCTGCATCTGTGGCGAGGCGAGTCAGTGGCAAGTATCCTGGTGGGTTCAACCGAGAGGTCAGCTCTTCTGAACCCATTGTGACATTTCGCACACTCCATCTCACACATGCGTGCGTCCAGGCAGACCTGATAGAAATAACTGACCCTACGACTGTTTACAACCAAAAAAGGGTAAGCCCGAAACAAGTCTCCTGCGCCCAACTCAGCCACCGCCTCCAGGTCGGTCCTCCAGGCCACAGCTGCTAGGATCTCCACGAAGCGAGCCCAGCCGGAGCCAAAGAGCTGTTCTTCTTTGGACAAAAGGAGCAGCTGTGGCTCATAGATTTTCTGTGACGCCTGAATGGACTCGGTGTGACAGAGCCAGAGCGCCTGCTGAACCTTATCCAGCTGTCGCTCGGTCAGTGCCACGCCCTCTTGCTGCCGTGCCGTCACCTTCAGTTCCTGCCAGAACTTGGTCCAAGACGCAAGGGCCGCCTTCAACTCCGACGGGGGCTCCTGCAGCGCCGTGGGCTCCAGAAGTCCGGCCTCCACGGCTCCCAGAAATGGAAGCACAGAAAGCGTGTAGTTCACGCAGCCCCACCAACTGTCGGGTGAGATGGATCGGTCCGGACCTAGGCGTCCACTGCGCCACTGCCAGTCCAACTGCACGGCATAAGCCCAGAGAAAATGCCGCGTCGGGCAACCGTTCAGCTGTATACCAGGAAATAAACTCTGCAACTCCTCGATCGCGATGAGGCGACGGTAGATGGCCTGGCGGCCGTAAAAATCCTCCGCAGCCAAGGGCTCTTCAGCGAGGGAGGGCCAGTACTCTGCCAAAGGCGTTCGCGGCCAAGTCTCCTCATTCGGCTTCCAGCCACCAGCTCTCCAAAGAGGCCAGTCGACCTCGACCTGACCGACCTGAGCTGTCTCTGCCTCAGCCACAACTCGCCGTGTCAGGGATCGACGCGAGCACGTCCCGGCTGAGGCGGCCGATACGGCCCATCTCAGAGCTTCCGGCCTGTCGCGTCCCCGCCTGGCTTCGGACGTGGAAACCGAGGTGTGAAAATTCCTGACAAAGCGGGACCCGTAGGAGGGAAAAATGCGACTGGTTCTCAGGCCACTTGTCGATTTGGACGGTACCCGGCCAAGCAAGGTGACTGCCGCCATCTAAACCCGAAGCTAAGCCACGAATATGCTTGGGCCTTCGAAAAAGCGTCTCGCGTCAAGTAGGTCCCAGACATGGAATCGACTAACAGGAACCGATATCGTATACTTTGGGACATGCCTTGCAGACGCGCCTCGGCAGATTTAGCTGCTGGCCATGCAGGTGAAAGCTTCATGGGCGAGTCCTTGCAAAAGCATGCAGCATAACCCGATTCAACCGTGAACCCCCGAGCACCTGGGCTTCACCAGTATCCACGGATGCCTGCAAAGACGATCTCAGGTCCTCCGAAACACGGGTCGAAGATGGTCGTATCAGCAACGTGATCAACATTACAGTCATAGCGATGGTCATGGTCCTGATCGTGCTCAGTCTCCTCAGCACCCATCCGATCCATCACTATTATTCATGAGCCACGGCCACCTGAGAAACTATCCGAAAATATCACAACCACCAACCATCACCACCGTCATCATCAACAAAACCACCATCATCTGCACCGGTCACATCGCCATAACCATCCTCGTGCTCCTCATCCTCGTGCTGAAAACCACATGACATATAACTGATAAAACCACAAGCCCAAGAATTGTCACGAACCTCACATCACCTTTCTCGTCATCTTCACCTGATGCGGTCACCTTCCATCGAAGGAACGCCTGCAAGGAATTTCGACTCACCGACGCAATCCACCGCAGACCAACATGATATGGAAAGAGGCGTCCTGCAGGTCGTCGCCGTGCGAGGGTTCGTCCTTGACAAGCGATCTAGCACTGGATGTCGGCGATGCCTGCCAAGACGCCCCGTTGTCACCGAATCTCATGAAGGGTCTATGGCTTAAGCATGCGAACAGATGAGCATGAGTTCCAGATGCAGGTTGCTCCTTCGGCTTTCAGCATCCGCACATATCTCGGAACCCACATGCCGCCAGCATCCGCCAGCCGAAATTGCTTGTATTACTGTCGGAACATAAGACATCAGGCTGCAGAAAATAAACTCTATCATCCGCGGGGTGCCGGAAGGTCCAAAACCAAGCCGTCCTGCGCACGATCAGGAGAACGAGGCGTCGGTGATCCGAGAACAGGCAAGTCCTTAGTGGCGAGACGCTCGCAGGATCGTCTTGCAATTAACGCAGGCAGCGGGAGATTCTGCCAGTGCGTAGCGGCGCGGAACTTGAAACACACCAAAGCAAGACTCTCGAGAAGAACCACCAAGTCTCGTCGAGCTCCTCCCAGGCATCCCACTCTATCCCCTCTGTCCCTGACTCGGGTCGGCCTGTCGGCATCCACATCCAATCGTCACAGCTGTTCCGAACAGAACATGAATACCCTACGAACAAGCAAAAGATGGAGATCAGCACGCCCACCCACCTGCCTGAGAGGGGAGGCGGCTCTTCCACGCCCGCTGGCCTACAAATGAATCCGTGAAACCCACTGTCGACCAACCGCTGAGATCGCACTTGCACCTTGGGTCGTCCACCAAGGATGCCTCAGTGTAGAGGTGGCACAAGTGTCCGGCTCTCCGTGCGACCACCATGTTCGAATTGAACTTTTGTCTACTGGCTACATGTACTGCCACCGCCGCAAGCACAACGCAAGGAAACACCAGGGACCGTCAGCTCTGCTTAAGCCCGCGCCGCAAACACCCCGGTGCCAACGCAAATGTGTGGCTTATCGTGCTTTGATCACTTGAGACAATCGCTCGACCATGCCCCGATACGCCCGAGATGCGAAGCCTGGAAGACCGGCACTCCAAGTGAACAGCCTTTAAACCTCAAGCTCAAAATGAATCAGCACCGACCCCATACTCGTCCCTGCCGCCATGGCACGAAGAAGCGCTCTACCGAGACCCGCAAGCCCGGAATCCCGAGGCCGTCCTGCGAAGGGCGGTCTTGAAGGGAGAGTTCGGGTCAGGGCTTGATGGTAACTCATGCAGTGCTGTCTTCTGAATCTGAAAAAGCTGCTCCCCGGGACAATTCGCTAATCGCAAAGCTGCGGCACGAAAAGAATCCCTTGAACGGCTTCGACGTGCACAATGGCGTCCTCAGGGCCGACGGCCTCAGCTTTTGCCACGGGCTCAGGAGCCAAGTCTTTCGGTGTGAAACTGGGGCCGGGGGCTTGCGCGACTTGAGACTCGAGAAGATTCTGACCACGTTGCCAGGCCAGAGACAAGCTTCGTAGTGGCACTTGTGTATGCAGCGGAGGCCCGTATCTTTCAGACAGCTAGTAGACATGCGGTCGACCGAATGTCCAGCACGGACATCCCAAGCCAGAACTTGAGGGACACCACTGCCCATGCAGGATTCGTGCGGGGCCAAGATTAAACTTGCAATCCCAGGAGCCACAGCCTGTGCTTGAGCCTCGCAAGGCCAAGGAGACGCATCCAGGGCTGCCACAGCACGAGCGAAGCGCAGAGACAGGGACACCTTAGGCGCATCTCAGACACATGCAAGCTCACAGCATCTGACGGCCAACCACGACGAATAGACAAGGCAAAACCGATGCGGCAAAATACACGCCTTAAAAGCCTGCTCCCCGTCGGTCCTTTCGTTCTTCGGTTCAATACGACAAGTAGGTTATCACAGAGGGCTTGCTGCAAAGGAAGAAGCCAAGACCATCATCCACAAACGCGAAGGAAAAAAGTTACCAAGGGGCATGATCACCGAGCCAATCTCCTTGCGAAGCGGCTGCCGAGCAGGACAACCTCGGCCACGTACAGCTGTCTTTACATGTATTCAGTCAGCAGTTGCACTCCATGGCATCAGCCAATCGAGACGGCCAGGAAAGTTTCAGCTTAGCAACAAGCACGGCCTCAAGGATACTCCAGGTCGGCTAAGACGAAGCTGCGATCGAAACGATCCGTGCCCGTCCGACTCGTCGACGTCGGCGCAGAGTGCATGAAGCTCCTCGGCACCAAGGAACGCGGCATACCCGCTGCGAAGAAGTTACCCATGCTGCTCAGAATCTGCCGCAGCAAGCTCTCCCTGGAGAATCGTGCTTGCACCTGGGTCTCCACATGTGCAGCCTGGTCTGGCTCCAAATATTCTCCAGTTTCTGCGAATGGCTCCAACACTGCAGGTCGCCTTATATGGGTGGTATCTTGGATGCATCCATCTTGATCCAGGAGGCGGCTCGACTCACGAGATTCTTCTCGAAGCTGAAGCTCCAGCCCGATGGCAAAAACACCTTTGAATAGATGTGTAAGGCCTTGGAGCTTCAAGGCTGCACACATCTTCGATTCCACCTGCACCTGTCTTGTCCTGCACCCACAAATCTGCACTTTAGCGCGACTTGCCAAGTGGCTGTCCCCGCCGGACAAAGGAACCACAAAGCGCACCGCCGTTCCCATCTGAACCTCCACTGGCCCTGGTCCATGAAACTAGCGCGTGCAAGCTCTCAGGGGAGGTTGCAATGCAAGCCGGCCCGTGGCACGCAGCGCATCTCAGCACAACATTAACATCCTGACAGAACTGCGGTCTCCTTCTGCTGCATCGTCATGGACCACGAACGTTGGGCTGTTGACCTTCGCACGAACTAGAGAATGTAAATCAACCACTACCCCCGGTCCCTGCATTTGCCAAAACCCTATGCAACACGCTCTGGCCGTCAGGCGGAGAATGACAGCCTGAGCCTCAGCCCAAGGCCCATGGACCAGCCCCGCTCAATCTGAAGCGGACATGGTAGGCATGCGAGAGGTGCTCGTCTCCACCCTTAGCCGGTGACGGCGATTTTGGACCCCAATGACCTACTGCACTGCAACGTGCAAAAGATGATCCACCGACACTGGGTCCCGAACCACGGACGCAAACTGAAGCGAGTCCTCGAAGCCAGAACGAATCTTCTCAAACTTCTGTCTTTGCCACTGTGTCATGATGGTCACACAACAGCAGTCAACAGTTTTGTTTCCCAATCACACAAGTGGATGACATGTCCAAAAGCTGCCGAGTTTCCAGTGTGACCTGTCAAAAACTGCGCAGGTCGTCAGGAACTATTCAGCAGCTTTGACGCGAGTCTGGGCATTCCGGCCTCGAGGACATGAGCATCGCACGGCTCCACGAGCGATAACAATGTCCTGTCGTTCGGTTCCGTCGTACCACTGTTCCGGGACTCAGATCTCTCGACGGCAAGGCACCTCGTACGCACAAATTCTTTGGCCGGCGAGGGTACCGGATAAGCTGTTGAAGCTGTCAGGACGGCCGCTAATGCATCTTCCTCGTCGTGGCAAGACAATGCACGACATAGAGGATCCCAGCTCAAGCCCAGGCCAAGCTGCCAAATCAGGAGATTCTAGGTGTGGCTGGAGCAATGCCTGCACGAATGAAGGCTGGAGCTTGACCGAAGAATCTGAATTCCAGCAAACTCCACCTTCGCCTCTGCTTCTTCGATCCACTCTGGCGGCGCCTGTCAACACAAGACTCCTTGGAGCACACCAAGCGCTAGGCCGCAACAGCAACACACCAGGTGACGCAACAATTCCTTAATCCAACCCAATGTTCATAGCGACAACTCGGCGCTTGCAGGGTCATTGTCTAAGGAGTGGCTAAGCAAAGGGGTTGTTTTCTTACTATCATTCACTAGGAGCGGCAGGCGGCATACGCGTCGCGGCCTAGCCTGTGGCCAGGTCTTTCGCAGCAGATCTTGCCGAACGTTGACAGCAGCTGCCGAACTTGGCTGCTTCTCACACCGAACACTGCCTCTACATCTGACAGTGCATCTGGCTCCACACGAAACTCGGCATCGGACCAACGCAACCTCCAGCACAAGGATCCCAAGCGGCTTCCATTTAGCATGAGGTGCTACGACATCAAGATGCTCAAGTTTGGTGTCAAAATGTGGTTTGTTGGCTAGCCTCTTGCCCTGTCATTGAAGCAACTACCTTGTCGCGTCTTACATGTACTCTTATATGTACAAACTGAGACAAGGTTTGCCCATGTGACACAGGTGCGCTGCTTTTGAACAGGTACGTGCCTGCAACTACACTCCCTGTTTGCTCTACGCGCTGAATTCGATGAATAGCTCGATTCGCTCGATCTGTACAGACCGCAACTTATATACCTCGCCTGCTTGCTTGTAGCTCAAGTTGCACAGGCCGCAGTGCAATGACTCAACGAAATGTTGAGCAGCCACCCCAACCAAAGTGGATATCACGGCATGAAGTCGTACAGCTTTCAAACCGTGGTATTTCTGTTGTCAAGCCATCAAGCCACACGAAACCACACAAACATTCCTGCCAAAACTAAAGGCTCGGCGATGTGCTACCCGACTTTTTGAAGCTAACTACGCACAGCTCACTGGGACGAACTGCGTATTCTGAGCAGTATCGACTCTCTTGACGGGTATGTCGCGATGCTTTACACGACAGACTGCATGGGATCCAAATTGGATCAAAACAGGAGTTGCGCTATGCTTGCAGTGTCACTTTGCGTGTATGAGAACCGACGCGGGCACTGCGACCTTGGAGTTGCCAGTATCGGGTCCCTCGTAGCGCACCTTAAGATTCTCGGCACCACCCATCTCGCACATCTCCACCACCAGCTGGTGGCTACCGGTCAACAGGGACTTGTGGTGGCTCGACCTCTCCTGTTCACCATGGCAGCCATTGTTGTCGACGATCCTCTCACCATTCAAGAACAAGAGAGAGCCGTCGTCCGAGGCGGTGTAGAACTTGTAGTTGCCGGGCTGATTGATGCTCACATAGCCGCTGCACCTGATGCAGAAGTTGTCGGTTTGCCTGACGTGAGGGAAGTTGCCGCTGTGCATGTCGATGTTCGGCACAACCTCGGTGTGAGCCGGGGTCAAAGCTCCGAGATTCGGTACATGGCACTGAGCTTGGTTGTAGAAGTACTCGCACTCCAACCCGGGTTCAAAGAACTTGAGCTCATGTTTGAGAACCGACGCGGACACTGCGACCTTGGAGTTACCAGTATCGGGTCCCTCATAGCGCATCTTGAAATTCTCGCCACCACCCATCTCGCACATCTCCACCACCAGGTTGTGGCTGCCCTCCGCCATTGTCATGTGATGGCTCGACCTCTCCTGTTCACCATGGCAGCCATTGTTGTCGACGATCCTCTCCCCGTTCAAGTACAAGAGAGAGCCGTCGTCCGAGGCGGTGTGGAACCTGTAGCTGCCCTGCGTCCTGATTGTGAGAAAACCACTGCACCTGATGCAGAAGTTGTCAGTTTGCCTGACGTGAGGGAAGCTGCCGTGGTGCATGTAGATGTTCGACAAAACCTCGGTGTGAGTTGGGGTCAAAGCTCCGAGATTCGGTACATGGCACTGAGCTTGGTTGTAGAAGTACTCGCACTCCAACCCGGATTCAAAGAACTTGGGCTCATGTTTGAGAACCGACGCTGGCACTGCGACCTTGGAGTTACCAGTATCGGGTCCCTCGTAGCGCATCTTAAGATTCTCGCCACCACCCACCTCGCACATGTCCACCGTGAGATGATGGAAACCTGTCGAAAGGGACTTGTGGTGGCTCTCCTGTTCACCGTGGCAGCCATTGTTGTCGACGATCCTCTCCCCGTTCAAGTACAAGAGAGAGCCGTCGTCCGAGGCGGTGTAGAACCTGTAGTTGCCGGCGTGATTGATGCTCACATAGCCGCTGCACCTGATGCAGAAGTGGTCGGTTTGCCTGACGTGAGGGAAGCTGCCGTGGTGCATGTAGACGTTCGACAGAACCTGAGTGTGAGCCGGGGTCAAACCACTTCCGAGGTCCGGAACACTGCACTGAGCATGGTTGTAGAAGTACTCGCACTCCAAACCCTCCGTCAAAGGTGGCTTGATTGTCATGACTTTGGCATCGGTATCTGGCACGACACGGCAGTCCGAAATCGGACGACCGAAGGTGGTCCAATCTGTACGGGGGCCATAGTGTCGCCTTGCATCGCCCCCCGTAAAGATCTCCGCGGTTTTGCCGTTCACAGCGATGGAGAAGTGGTGGCCGTCCACATCTCCAATCTGGGATGTGTTTCAGTATAAAAAGCAAAAATTTACTTCCATCGCGACAACGGGCCAAGAAGCGTAATCCCAATGGTGCAGACCGAGCGGCTCGCCACTTGCCAATCTGCACGAAGCCCTGTCCGAACGCGATGCCTGATGGTGCGCCAGTTGCTCGTCCAAACAGACTCCAGCCATGATGGGGTCCGTTGTGCACGGTGCCGTCATCGCCTGAAACCAGGAGAGGTGAGACATGGAGTGTAATGCCAAAATACCTTTTTAACTTGTGCGTCATGTGCCCCATCGGAACTAGCGCCGCAATTGCAAGGCAAGCCGCGCCAAATGATCGGAGCTTTGTTGTTGCGGTGGGAGAGGACGAGATGTCTCCCATTATGCTCCCATTCACCCAATCGCCACCAGTGGCCAAACTGGATAAAGCGATCTCCGAACTTGACGCTGTGTGTTACGCCGGCCTCACGGTCCCAGGTGTGCCAGTCCCTTCGCGGGCCGGAGTGGGTGTGACCGTCGGAAGTGAGGATCGGGGGAGTGTGGATGCTGCGGTGCGAGAATGAGAAGTGGTGCGAATCTATTCCCGCGACTCGCCAGTCGCTCAGTTGCAGGAAGCCGTCACCTGCTCATGCTTCTGAAGGGTTCCTTTAAGGCGTCTATAAGGCGTCCTTTAAGGGCTCCTTCGATCTCTCTGTCTGCCTCTCTAAATTTAAGGCTGCTCCAAGGTGAGTTTTAGGGGTGGGACTCCTTTTTCAAGTCCGGCCACCCACTGTTATTCCGGGGCATGTCCCCAGAATTCCCTGGATGCCACCACAATGCCACATCGCATATCGATCGTTGACCTAGGCAAGAGGGTCTAGGCAGCTGTGAATTTGGGTTCAAGGGACTAGACCCTACCTCAGCTTCTACCCCGCTAAAAACAAGACGATAATGAAAAAAGCGAACGTTTGCCACGAGGGTCCAAATGACCTTATAGGCGTAGTGGTGCTGTGTCCCAGGGACCAGAAGGCCGTCCGATCTGAAGATCTGAGGGCTTTTGTTGTGGCCCCTGTGGGTCACATATAACGCGTCATCTCCCTGGGCTGTGACAGCGGTGAACTCGCCCACCAAAGCGCAGCGCAGAGAGAGAGAGAGAGAGAGTCAGGAAGAGAGAAGGGAGAGGGTGAGCTCAAAAGAAGGATTCTGGTGTGCCGCCCAGCTGCACCGATTCGGAACTCCCCCAACTGTATGAACCTGTCTCCGAACCTGTTCAAGGCTGACAATGCCAGCTTTAGCAGAAACGACAGACTCGGGATTGTGCGACTGCAGGTATCATAGGGTCCTAAGCAACGGCTTCTCAGCACAAGCCGAGGAACGTCACTCCTGATGCTGGCCCAGCTCGCAAGCTCCATGCATTCCAGTGGTGTGGCACGTTGGGGTGCAGGGAGCCATCATGCCTGGGCAGCTGGAACACTCTCCATGTGCACGGCCGTAGTGCGCACGGTATGGAGAACGCAATACTACGACGGTTCTTGGTCTTGCTTGGGCTTTGCGGCTCTTGCATCAGGGCATCGGGGTCCCTATCGTTAGTGTTCTGAAATCACAAACGGGGATCAAGACAGCGCCCAGATACCCCCTGAAGACCTGAGCTGTGATCCCTGAGATGTGAGTGATGCTCATGTGGTCGTGGTCCATAGCTGCGATGCGGAAGTTACTGATCTGGATGAAGCTTGGCCCGAAGGTGATGCCGTGAGGAAACCTTTTTCTCCACCACTACGCAAGGGCATTACTAGACCTATTAAGGCATAATATAAGCCCTTTTTGCCTAAATCCGACGACATATATAAAGCACAACCAGAAGGAACCAGAAAGTTCCAAGGTTCCGCGGCAAGGAGCCCGATAGGTCTGTGCCAGGCACTGAAGTCGGTGCGCGGACCGGGAAAGAGATGGCCATCGTTACGGTAGATTTGGGCTGTTTTCCCGTCCTCGTGAGAGATGCTGAAGTGGTTGGCGTCTATGGCTGCTAGGCGCCATTTCGCGAGTTGAATAAATCGATCCCCCCAATGTCCGAACTCTGGATTGCATTCTCCATGGGCCTTCTCGGCGATATCGGGGCAGGTCCAGTGGGCGGGCAATCTGCGGGCGACCATCTCATTATGATGGTTCCAATGGCCGTTGTTGCCTGGGTGCCGAGTTCCGTCGTGGCCTCGGAAAATCTCCAAGCTCTTGCCAGTGGGGGTGAAGTAGAAATTGAAGTGGTTGTCGTCAGCTGCACCGAATCGCATTTTGCCCACCTGTACGAACCTATCTCCGAAAGTGACGCCTGTCTGAAACCCTTCGCCACGGTCGTAGAGGTTCCACCCGGTCCCATGGTGCACTGAAAGGTCGTGGCCCCGCCAAGTCTGGGGGCATTTGTGGCTGCTGTGAACCACGCTGAAGTGATCATCATCATTGGCACCAATACGGAACTTGCCGATCTGGATGAACTGGAAGCCGAACCTGACTTCTAAACCATCGCCTTCAAGCCGTTGCCTAGGAGGCGTCTAAACTCTAACACCCTGAACCTTGCGTCGTAGCACCCTACATATTGACACCATGAACCCCCAACAACGCAAACCCTACACCCTGAACCAGTCCTAGGGGCGCGATCCCTTTGGACGGCCCAGCTTCCCTGTCCCAGGCTACCCGATTGGCGTTACGATGCCAAGGCCGCCAGAAGGTTCGCCCATCGTTCCGCCACACAATCGGAACCTCGCCTTGTTGGAGGGTTCGGGATTCAGGCAACATCACCTCAAGGAAGGGCCCCTCTGGTAGGTGAGGCCTTCATGCTGTTGAGAATTTTGTCGAGAATTTCGTAGGGAGTTCCCAGCCCCGAGACTGTGACACTCGAAGAAACATGTTTACGATCTCCAAGGCACCGTTACTGTGCTGCAGAACCAAGTGCCGGCCATCAATGTCGGCCAATCGCCATGTGTTCCCCAGTTGAATGAAACGATCTCCCATGACGAGTGCCGGGCATGTGATGGTGCCCCCAGAGGCCCTCAGAACCAGAGAATCCAGAGACACAACCACTGGAAAAGAAACGGAGCGAAGATGAGGTGATCCCTTCAGTGTGACAGGCATGGAAAAACCTTCACAAACCCGCTCCGAGAGTCCTTGTGTCGTGATTTGTCACTTGTTCGGGTGGCGGGAGCTCTTCCCCAGGTGGAGGCCCTCGGCCGGCGTGCTTGCACCCAAGCTCTGCTGCGCAGGGGGCAGAGTCGAAGCCGGGAGTCGTGTAGACCTCCTTGCAGAAGAGCTTCTTGGGAGATAGCAGCTGGATCGATGGTAGGCCCAAGTCCAGGTTAAGGTTCGGGATGAGTCCTGTGATTTGGGATGCTGCCTCTCGAGCCGCCTCCATGATGAAATTCGTAGCTGTGCTGGCGCCGGGAATGCACGAGAGTGGCCCGGCTATGGTTCTGACGAAGGCTGCAGCACTGGCCAGAACGGCTGCTGTTAGCTCGTCTATGAGGAAGCGGCTGTTGAAGCGCGATTTGAAAATAGCTGGCAGCGCAAAGCCCGTGATGTCGACGTCGGCATAAATGTTGAGGGCGGCTGCTCCGCACATCTGCAGCGGAGTTGTTGTCATGTTCAAACTCGAGTTAGACCCGGCTGCGGCAGAAACATGGTGAGACTCCTCAATGAAGAGCAGCCCATGGCCCGACTCGTAACTCCTCGGACGTGCCGCGCTGACATGTCTCAAAAGCGAAAAAAACACTGCGTCCAAAAAAACAAGTCCTTGACGCTAGCTTAAACCGAACTGTACAGAAGCTGTCTTAGGCAAAACCGGAAACTCTTCTGGAATCAGCTCTGGCTTCAGTGTGCCCTGGGCTTTGGCTTCAGCATGCACCATAGGCCTGAAGATCAGTTTAAGTATGTGTTTGGCCTCGGGAGTTTCTTAATAATTGGAGGATCTTATTTACTCTCGTAGATAGGCTTGATAGGTTTAGGGGTGTGGGTGTGGCATTGTAGGGTGATGTAGAAAAGCCTGAAAGTGATCGGAATACCAGGCACTGGCCATATCGTGAGGACCGGTCCCACACTCCTTAGTTGATGCGGAGGTAGCTAAACTTCGAAGCAAAAAGCAATCAACAACCGTATATTGCTAAAGGAGCTGATTCAACATCGCGCTTGTGCCTCAATGATTTCAAGGCTCACCCTCGCAGTTGCCGTAGCACTGGCTCCGATCGCGAATCCTTGCTTGTGCGTGATCTCTGGGCTGTTCATATCCACATCGGCATGACCATTCCTGAGAATGCTTCAGGGTCAAATTCAAACTTCCGTGTTCATCCCTCCGGTTTCCTTTCGAGTCCAAAGCTCGGCGTGACACGCACGGAGCCAGCGATTCGGAAGTCCGCTTCGGTGCTCACTTCGAGTGTCCCGGTCAGTGTACCCTCCAAGTTCAGCTCTGCAACCATCTGAAGCATGATTATACGATGCAAAACTTGCCACCACAAATGATTTTCTTCTTGGGGGGATCCGGAAATCCTCTCATGGCCTGGGCATCAGGATTCACATGTCAGTAGCGACAATGCTGGTGCTCAAATGATACTTCGCGTCGGGTACAATGATACGACTACAAGACCACCACCACCCAAAGAAACCAGAAACTGGCAGGCGCACAGACATCAGCCGGAGCACCAGCAGCAGCGGAAGCAGAAACAGTGCCAGCAGCAAAACCAGAAACAGAAACAGAGGCAGCAACAGCGGTAACAGCAGCACCACCAGCAACATCAACGTCGCAGCCAGCAACGGAGCAGCATTTTGCCCCTTCATAGCGCCTTGTAGGAGCAGCTGCCTTGCGCCTCGACCAGAGCTTGAACGGATCCGCGCACCATGCCACTGATGTGGAACTCGGTCGTTCCTGGGCTCACGTGATAGTGTTGCGTCTCACAACAAAGTGGCACCAGTACTTTGAACCCCAAACAGCAAGCTCTGCCCAGTTTCCGCTGTCATAAACAGTGATAGTCACATCTGGTACAAACTGGACAACACGATCGATGGCAACCTCGGATAGGAAATGGCAACCCGCGTCTCGCAGCCATCCAGCGATGAAGCGATCATGAAACATGCAAAAATTTGCAATAAAAGCCCCTCGTGCAATCGGAGGCACATCCAAGGCCGTCTCACACGAGCCTTGCTTGGTAGTGAAATCTAGGAGTATGACAGTACGAGGCGAGACTGAGGAGGCATTTGGATTGCCCGGACTTGGGTCCGCCACGTTTTTGGGTAGCACAGGCCCGCAATCCCTGGTCTCTCGCCTCAAAACATGAATCCCCGACCTCTGAATTCGAGCGCAAATAGGGCAAGGCAGGGCACTCGAGGTTCCTGACGTCTTCTTGTTCTTCAATGCCTCCTGGCTCTTCAGCACCTGGCCTGCCGTCCTTGGGCTTGGGGGATTTCAAGATTCCAAACATGAGCAGGGAGGAAGCCTTTGGGGTTGATGGCTTAGGGTCTAGATGTTGTCTAAAGGTTCTTTTGGTTCACAACAGAAACTCAGAAACTGAATTTCCCGAAAAGCGAGAAGTTGGAAAATACGACTTTCACCCAGAACCCTATCCTCTGAACCTAAGCCCTTCACAGATACAAAAGAAACAGGGTGCCACTGGGATTGTCGAAGCTCTTGAATGCTTGCACGAACGGCGCTCCAGGCAACACGTGCATACCTGTGCTGTTCCCGCAAACCCTGCCAAGAGTAAAGCTCTTACGTTTAACACGTTAAAGCAGCTAGCAATACAAAAACTCCAAAAACTGTCAAGCCACCCTCCAGGGTCGTGCCTTCCATGTTGCTCTGCTGAACCGCTGCTATCCCGAAGCCTTGGGAAAACTCGGCACCTGCCCGGAAGACACACCGCACGGAGAAGCGGTTTGTCGCGATCGTGACGTCACTGCCAGCGTTGCAGTCGCACTGATCGCCAATCAAGATTGAACACAGGGAGAACATTTCTTTCATACAATCGATAATCTTCTTGATCTCGTTCCAGGCTGCCTGGGCCAACCCTGCAGCCAACCTTCCCACTTCCGCGAGGGATTGTTTGGCATGGGCTAGTGCCGTTCCTGCAAGATCGACGGTTGTATCTACCACCATCTCTCCTACACTCACCATTGTCCTGACGGCACCTACCGCCACGTTCCCGATGCTGCTTGCGACTCGCTGGATCGGCCCGGGCAAGCTCTGCAAGCTGGTCTCTGCTGCTGTTACGACATGGTTTCCGACAACCATGGCCGCATTGCCAATCGCGCTGCCTACGGCCATGCCTGCTGATCGAAGCGTGTTGCCAACAGCGCCCAACCCATCAGCAATGGCTCCGAAAAACTTCGCGGACACCACGGCATCGAGCTCCTCGTCAGCACTGGAAAAATTGGTAGTCTCACCCATCGACATCTTCGAGCGAGAGGAGCGGGCAACAAGAGCATTTTGCACGGCCATCTCAGCCCCATTGAAGTCGTTCTCGGAACGTGAAAGCTGCACGGAATGCTCAGCAATCGCGATTTCCGACGAGTTGGTGACCAACTCCTGCATAACTTTCATGGACGAAGCCACGGAGAACGTGGCCCACAGCATGACCAAGTACGATGTCCATCGCCAAAGAATTTGCTTCATTTCACACGGAAGGGTTTCAGCAGTCAAAGCCCCAGCTATGTTGCACGCGCTGGAGCCAATAAAAGGGCTTTAGCGTTCGATTGGCTTCCGTTAACTTTCGTTCACACAAGCTGAAGCTAATTCCAATCAACTTTCCAAATGTGAAGTGTCCACATCACTCTGATTGCGAAACTGGTGAAGGACTTCCTGTACAAACGAATGCTTGCAGCAATTACTGCAGAAGCCACCTTGGCTCAAGACGAGGATTCGGTAGTGCCTCGTGTGATGACCATGGAAGCCGGGATGATGCCGCCTACGAGATCCGTGAAAAGACCAGCTCGCTCCCCTCTGCACGAGATGGATGACGACACGCACGATGATGGATCGATAGGTTTATCGGTGGCCACCATTGGAAACATTGTTCGTGCTGAAGTTGAGAGTTGAACAGAAGTTGAACCACATTCACAACATTTTGGACGAGCGCATTGACAAGATCGAAAGCACGGTTGGTGAACAAGGTCTGCGAATCGATAAATTGGAGCAGCTTGTGATGCATACAGAAGGCACACCGCGATCGCATGTATCGGAACGCAGTGTTCAGCTGGAGAACCATATCAGCGATTTGCAATCACAGGTGGCCGCTTTGCGAACATCGGAGTCAAGCGTCCAGCAGGATTACATGCGAACTATGGTGATTGGGGGCTTGGATGGGTTGCCAGCACTGCAAAACGCCACAACATGGTTGACAACTAAGCTGAGCGCATTGCAAGGCCCATCACACATTGGCACATACATGAAATCGCAAACGTTTCAAGGGCTGCTGTTTGCTAAATTCAGAACCTCGGTGGACCGGGACACGGCAGTGGCGTTGTTGAGAAGTGCCGAAATGCATGAGAAGGGCAAACGAGTGTGGGCTACGCAAGACTTGCCGAAGCTGCAACGCGTTCAGAAAGTTTTCATCATGGGACTTCGATGGCAGCTTGGGGAGTGGGGTTTCATGAAGAGGGATATGCAGTGGGACGATAAGTTTACCAGCCTCAAGGTTCAATGTGGTCGTCACGGTGCACATCTCCAACCAGAAGTTGGTTTGTGACTGGTCCCCTGAATGGGCACAATGGGATGACTTGCAGAACAGCAGTGGGCTGAAGCAGTTGATCCAACGTGCCAATGACAAGTTGCAACAAAGCACTGTTTCCAAAGGATCCGGCAAAAGCAAGCAATCGCTTGCCGGGATGGGAACGACGTCCTAGGGACATCTCCGTCCGAGTCCAGGAGTTTCACCACTGTCGCACACTGCAGGTCATAAACCTGTTCCCGAGGTGGCTAAGCCGACAACACGTTTTTCATGCCCAGCGCGTGCGAATTCAAGATTTTCTGTTTATTGCAAAAATGCGATGCTACACACCGATGACAGACTTGCAGAGGTTTTGGGCGAATTGAACCATTGTCAATGGCATGTCGTGCTATTCAGCGAGACGCGTCGGAACTCCGACCATTGCAAACTTGCAGGTGGTCACAAGCTGTATTCATCATCGCAGCAGACAGCTGCTGCGGGTGTTGCAATTCTTGTGAACCGGCGTTTGCTGCATGGTGTGATTCGAATACACGTCATAAGTGACCGCTTGATGTTCCTCGACTTACAAACTTTGACCCGCATATGCAAACAGATTCCCGTTTACATGCCACATGCAGGATATCCACATGATGATTTGTGCAAAATGTATGATCAGCTTCATTGGGTTTTGGCCGAGGCACAAAAGATGAGATATGCTTCCGTGATTGGCGGCGATTTCAATACACAGTGGAACGTGGGACGTCGCGGCGATATGATTCGGGAGTTCTCGCATATGTTCGGTCTTTGCTTGGCCAACCGTGAGCAGCTGCCAGCGTCTTGGACATTTCGCAGTTCAACTGGCATCAAGCGACAGCTCGATTTCATCCTTTTCAGCTCCGAGTTATGTTGTGAATCCGCTGGGGCAGTTGATGTGCCTGATTTGGGATCGGATCACCGTGCAGTCCATTGCAATATTTACATGCGAGCACGTTGTTTCAAACGGTTTTGGGAACCATTGCGTGTGCCTCGTGGTTGGATGCCGAACAACCAACAACAAAATCATGCCAATTTGCAGATGCGGTTGTCCAACCAACAACCTAACACCATCATGGAGCTTGAACGTTTGGTGCACTCCGCAGCCGTTTCGTCCGTGAAGAGTGAGCAATCGAGACTTGTTGAACCGTGGGAACAAGACGCTTTTCAACATCTTTTGCAATCAAGAAAATCATCACGGGATGCGACTGAGAGGCGGGCACTCTCCAACCTGATCCGCCAAAAGCTACGGTCTTTCCAACGTCAAAAGCAGAATCAGAAGATCACGACGACCCTGGAGCAATTCCAAGATTTTGGACGATTGGACGCGCTGTTTCATGATCCGATAAAGACCTTTGACATGCCAGCGACCAGCAGGCCAAGCCCCGAAGCTTTTAAAGAGTGCTTATCCGAGGTTTTTACATCAAGCGACGTGCATGCCGAAGCATGTCGAAACAACATTGGTTTTTCGACCATACCGCCTTTTCAGCTTTCTGAACTGAGACAAGCGTTGCGACATATGCGTAATCGCAGAAGTGGTGATGATGCAGGTCTGGTGTTGGAAATGTTCAAGCTGGGTTGCACAGAACTTCACGAATGCTTGCTTGACATTTACAACCGCATGCTTCTCGAGGATTCCTTGGAACCATCATGGCAGCATACTCTTTTTAAAATGCTACCCAAACCCGGCGATTCAACTCAGGCAAGCAATTGGCGCCCCATCGCAGTTCTGAAGATTACCTATAAAGTTTTTGCAAAGCTACTTGGTTCGAGAATTCATAACGTCTTGGAGTCTGCTCAATGTGCCGATCAAGTTGGTTTTCGTTCCAAGCTTGGGATTGACCACGCTTTTGCCGTTTTGGAGACGATGATTGGGAAGAGTATTGAGTGGGACACTCCGCTGTGGTGCGCAAGTTTGGATTTAAAAAAGGCTTTTGACAGAATAGAGCACCGATCGTTATTCGAAGCACTTCACGACCAAGGAGTTCCGCAATGCTACATTGGTTTGTTAACAGCACTGTATCGGTCACAGACAGGCCAAGTGCACGCAGGGAGAAAGTTTTCAATCCAACGTGGAGTTAAGCAGGGTGATGTGCTCAGTCCGGCACTTTTCAATGCTGGCCTTGAGCTCGCACTTGCGCGATGGAAATGCAAACTTTCACAACACGGGCTGCATGTTGGTGGAACGGAGCGTCTTACAAACATACGGTATGCAGATGACATACCACTGTATGCCAAATCACTGGAAAAACTTATTTTCATGATGGAGTCGCTTATACACGAGTTGGCACAAGTGGGGCTGCAACTTAGTTCCTCGAAGACCAAGACTCTCACAACTCAGGCATTGACGAAACCGCTCCTTGTGGAAGTGTGTGGAGAAATGGTGGAAGCACTCACGTGTGAACCACAAATATTTGGGACGACGCCTGTGCGGTTCATTAACTCGGAGACACGTGGTTGAGTTTAATCATCGCGTTCAACTGGCATGGAACAAATTCCATCGACATCGCCGTGTCCTGGTCAACAAGCATGTGTCCATCAAACTTCGCATGAAGTTTCTTGACGCCGTCGTGACGCCGACCATATTGTTTGGTTTGCACACATTGGCCCTGACCGGTGTGCAGCTATCCAAACTTGACTCCATTCAAAGACGGATGTTGCGCTCTATGGTTGGGTGGACCAGACTTCAAGACGAGAGCTGGCACGACACCATGAGTCGCATGAAGATCCGGGTGACCAAGGCGCTACATCAGCACCCCATGGAAACATGGACAAGACGTTTAGCCAGGTGCCAACATTCAGTCGCCATCCGAGTTGCGCAAAGCAATGGTTGGGTGACAAGCGTGGTCACGTGCAATCCCGAATCGAACTGGCATGACAACTTTTCTTTGGCACCCAAGCGCCGACCAGGACGCCCACTGACCCGATGGGATGACAAGCTCCGAAGTTTCTGCAAGTTGGAGTTTCCCGACACGCAATGTTGGATGTATGTAGCCGGAAGGAGTGCATGGAAACGCAAAGCAGATGATTTCGTCAACGAGTTTGTCCAAATTGTACAGTGACGAATCTGCTAGAGCGCGTGTTCTTTAGTCCCCATGTCCTTATAGGACCGTAGTCTTCACCAGCGGAGTCGGACGGGCGAAAGCGAAAGCCACCGAGTTTCCTTACTGTAGCAAAAAAGAAACTGCGAGAATCAAAGCCTTTTGTTAACGCCAGCTCTGGTGGAGAACATCCGCTTTGTTCAAGATGAACCAGCTGACCTAGCTTCACACATAGATCCACACAACGCACCTGAAACTGTGTTTTGCCAACTGGCGAATCTTCAGCACACGTTGTAATCCGAAGACAACGGCACGCTTCCGTGCCATTTTTTTGTGGAGCGTACTCCGGTTCGTGTAATGAGTAACAGTACAGGATTTCTTCGCAACTTAAACTAAAATGCAATGAAAATACAGTTAAGCAGGAATGAACCGTCTTTCTTGACGGACAAAATGGGGGAGCCAGACGTATCGCTCGAAAGTCACACGAAAGCGGTCAGTGCTGGCGTTATGCTTGCGAATGCCACCAGGTGCAAACGCCGACAAACCCACTCGGAGCTCAGCATAGCGCCGGTGACGCCTGGTACCAGTAGTGTTTGGCTTTGAGGTTGGAGGCCGCAGGACTTCACATGCTTGCTTGAGCTTGCTTGCGCGTTGGCGTGCTGCGAGCCTGCCTGCCGTCCTAATTTGTTAGCCCGCTGCCTAAGCAGCCTGGGTCCTGCGTTGGAGCGGCATCCTTGCCTGCCTGCCGACCCCGCCAAGGAGAGGCAGAACCGGTGCCGCACGCTGTTGGCAGACGTGCGTTGGCATGAAGCGCCGGATCGCAATCGCATGCCTAGCCGTGCTGCGTGAACAGTGCCGTAGGCCGTCTGTGAACGGGGACCACACACATTCAGGCTGTTGCAGAAAAGGTACCGAATCGCGGAAGTCACGAGCATCCATCGGTACGAGGCTCGCCGCCAACATGGTGTGGGGCGTCGGGACACCCTGTCCGAGGAAAAGCAAGACGCTGTCCATTTTCTCGAAATCTGAAACGGCCGAGCCGAAACGATCGTGTGGCTTGTTTAATGGTTCGCTTGTGTTTATTTGTGCTTTTTTAGGCTTTTAATTTAAATGTATTCAGCATCTCCCGGGGCTCCCCGTCACGCCCGACTGGGCTGACAATAGTGGCGTCAACGACGAGCTGGTGTCCATGCAAGGGTGAAAACTTATATGGCAAACAACTTCGATGCGCCGTGTGTCGTGCACGGGGACAGCAAGGTTCGAATGCATCCCGTGCTCTCACACGGCCAATTTTTTTTGGTCAAGTTGCGCCCAGCAATCTGCTGCAATGGGATCGCGCTCGAGCGTTTGCAAAATAGCCCGCCGAAGAAGAAGAAAAAAAAATGCTCCAGCTTCGCGGCAAATTCTTGCAAGAGGGCGCTCAAGGGGCACGGCGCATGCTAGGCCCCGAAAACGGGCCAAAAGGCGCTGTAGAGCTGCGCGCGGATTCGCGTGAATGAGGGTATATAAAGCCCGCATCTGGAATGCCGCCGGCTAAGAACCACCACGCACTGCTGACCTCGCAGCAGGGAGCGGCGAGCCTGTTTGGGTCGGCAACTGGAGCCCCCCCCTTTGACTGCCAAGGGCTCAACATATCGGGCACAACGCTTTCGTCGCCCGCGAGCTGCGGCGCAAGCGCTCGGACCAAGACCGGCTTCTGGAGCACATCCCTCGATTTCCAAGCGGCTTCGCTCCTTCTCCAAGACTGCGCGGCCCCGCGCGCGAACTACTTGCTACGCATTCTGCCGCCGCACCTCACAGCCGAGTAAGCCGCCGCGCACGACACCTCCGTTGCTCGCTGCGTGGCCGCGCTGCTCCGGCAAGGAAATGCACCTCTACCGCCAACAAGTCTGCGCGCCGCCCAGCTGGCTCAGTACTTTGGACGGCTCGGCCTCCGCTTCGCTAGTGACGACAGCAGCGCCGCGCACTGGGCATCCTGGCAAGACACGCTGCCAATCATCAGCGCGCGGGATCGCGCGGGCTCCGGCAGCAGCCGCACGACTCCATCAGGCGCTGCGAGGCGACGCCGCCCTACCCTCCGCAGCCGCTGCCGTCGCTGCGCAACATTGCGCAAACGCGCTTGCGTCAGGCCGGGCCTAGGCCTTTCAAAGTCTGGCAGCGACTCGCTGCCCGACCATGCGATGAGCATGCGTTCGAGACACAATTTTTTCAACTCTCTCTTGTGTCCCGCGTGTTACTGCTCTCGCAAGCCGATCCCTGTGCTGCCTGTGTCTTCACTGTCCTGCCGACGTGCGATGAGACGACCGCCTTCTTCCGTGTCCTCTTGTTGCTGCGCCTGCGCATGCCTTTGCCACTTGCGCCGCGCAGATGCGCATGCCATGGGCAATTCGACGCCCCATGGGTGGTCACCGTGCAGCGTGTGCCACCGGCGGGGTGCTATCGCCGCGCGCATTGCCCTCGAGCATGCCATCGTGTGCGTTTGCCGCGAAGCCGGCGCCAGGGTCGCCTGCAATGTCCGCCTGGCTGACATGAACCTCGACGTGCCGGTCGCGGATGAACGGCGCATAGAGGTTGTCGCCAATGGCCTTCCCCTATGGCACGGGTCCCGGCTCGCACTAGATGCCACAATCGTGCTTCCCAAAACACGACGAGGCGAGGACCACCCCCGCGGGGACACCCTGCCAGGTAGCGGAGTGAATGCCGCGCCAGACGCAAGCGTCACAACACCTACCCCGAGCTCGGCCGTGCCCGACGATGCCGCCTCGTCGTGCTCAGCACCGAGACCGGAGGTTCAACACTGAGACAGTCCAGTTCCTGCAGCTCCTGGCGTGGCATCGTGCCGCTGCCGTTGCCACGCACCTGCGACTTGCCGCGATTACCGCCCTGGGTGGCGAGATGGTCCGGCCTCCTCGCAGTTGCCGCAAAACGCGCCTTCGCGGCTTCCTTGCTCGAGTTGCCTCCAGCCGCGGATCTCGGCGACGGGCCGGGGCCTGTGAGCTGCACAAGCTCCTCGCGGAAGTGCGCTAACAGGCTCCCCCTTCCCCTGAGGCTGAGGCGTACCGCGGCGGAGCAAGCCAGTAACGAGTACACGTACTTCGATGATCAAGGTGGTTATTAAACAAGTAGCACACTTAGTATATAAATAGCAGGCTTGTCGAGGTTAGGTATATGTAGTTAGGAAAGTGTCATAATTACACTTACGATATGTAGAGTAGTGTAGTTAGCTAAGTACACATAGCGGAGTTATGTGTCGGAGTTATGTATAGGTGTTTCTATATATGAGTGCATATAACTGTGAGTGTGTATGCACAATCTCAATAGACTCGCAGGCAGGGCTACAAGCTCGCCATGCAGATTTTTTCTTAGGCAGGAGTGACCATGACCTCGCCATCCTTGGGACACTTCTTATAGTAGCATGTCCTCTGGATGTGGACACTCGGAATAAACCGAGCCGTGGAATCGTCCAGGAGGAAGCGATTCTTACCCAGAGGCTTCAGAATGCTACACAAAGTGCACATGTCCCCGTCATACAGGCGGCAATGCAGCCACACTTGGACCACATCACCAGAAGAAAGCAGCACGAGATCACCTTTCTCGCAGCTCTGGCCCGGCCTGCAAACGGCCTGAAAGGAAACAGTCGCACCGCATGCTCGATCGCCGAAGTTTGCATTCAACATGGCCTACAAAGAGATCGTAGCTTTCTTGGGTGACAGCAGATGGGGCTGCAGACTGAAAGAGTCCGCTTGCATCTGCAGGATCACTTCGCCCCACACGTCTCTGAAGACGGATTTCTCAAACCAGTCTCCAGGGTTGTGAATCTCGTTTGCCAGCTGTTTGATTTGGCGATGCTTTCTTTCGTGAGTGAAGCAGGAAATCAGCGGTTTCTTTCGAGCAAAAGCGCCAAGGTGCAGGCTATAGTGGAATTTAGGCACAACATGCTCGGAGCCATATGCACTGAGAAATGCCCGGCAGTGTTTGAGGATGGCGGCCTCCAAATCGTCTGGTGGCACCTGCTCTCCCCGGTTCCCTTTAAGCAAGAGATCCAGGACGAGAAACAAATTCAAACAACTGGTCATCGCCTTTGCCAGTAAATCTGGAATGCTTCCTGTTGCAAGACTGAGCAAGAAAAGTCGCAGCAATGGGTACAGGTTCAGACCTACTACACTTGAACTCGCCAGGGGGAATTCTCTTGTCGAAAATCCTCAGTGTCTCGTTGCGGTGTGTCCTCAAGCCGTAGGGCCATTCGAAGGAACACATCCAGTCTTTCAGACTTTCCACTGTCACACCGTGGGTATAGAGTATGGGGAACAAAAGCCCCAGCTCCACGTGCATCAGTCCTGCTACCAAGTAACAGTGTAGCCAGTCGTACATCAAAGTGGAGGCCAAAGGCAAACTCCCATGGAACAGGACACCATCTGGGTTATGGTTCATCCCCAGTGACTGCTCCAGCTGCTCAAAAGCCTTCTTGGAGACTTGGCCACATCGGCTTTGCAGTAACCTGCAGCCCTGCCAGATGGTATTGTCCGTTCTTGCACAAAACTTCTCCAGAGCAGTTTCGTGCACAGGTACCAGTGTCCCAGTTGTGTCACAGCCTTCCAGCATGCTCGTCTTGGCAACAACATTGGAGCACAAAGGACATGGTAGTGTCCCCGAGGAGCCCTTCACATCAAAGACTGCCTTCAAGGCAGCTTCATCTGCCACCATGGTGTCCAGTTTGGCGAAGAACATAACTCGTTCACCGCCCGAGTCCAGAAGCAAACCATGCTCGAAGTCCTCAAGCTTCAGTGCTTGCAGGAGGTGGTGGGTGAACTGCGAGAGGCCGCCAGGAAGTTGGTTCACCAGATGGGACCTCGCCAAAGCCACCGTGAACCACATTTGTTCTTGGCAACGGAACTCCGCCCCGAATTCATGGAAGGAAAGGTAGTAGGCTTGGATCTTCCGTGTGTTTTGCTGCTTTAGTTGGTTGCCCGGTGATATCTCATCACAATATAAACACACCCGCCAAGGTGTGTTTGCCTTGGGCGGGTGTTCCAGGAACTTCCTGCTGAAAAAACTAAGAAGCAGGTTCTTGACGACGTACCACATCCAGGCTTTCAGATTCAATGTTGGGAAACTCCGTTCCTTTCCCTTCTTGTCTTTGATCTGCATATTGTCGATCAAAGCGCCATATGGTGTGTCGATGGCGACCTGTTCCTCTCTGGCTCTTTTGATGCCTGATCTGGAAGGTGCCACTGTGGAAGACGATTCGGAAACCTCCTTCAAAACAGCTGCTAAACCACTCTGGCTCACATAATGCTTCCGACCCAAGCTGGCCACGTCCAACGACATGGCTAGTTTCTGAATGCCGGCGAGCTTGCAGCCCTGCCGGCTTGATGGGCCCCAATGAAAATTTTTTCAAACTACGAGCAATTTTGCGAAGGACATATAATTACCTATATTGAGGCTTCCCTTCCCTATATGTGCCCGCGCTCCGCGTTCTCGACCCCCCACCCCCAATGGTATCCCCCCCCCCCCCCGACCCGGGCGACCACACAACAAGAACAAGAACAAGAACAAGAACAAGAACAGCAGCAACAACAAAGCAGCAGCAACCACGCGGAGGAACCACAGGAACCACAGGGGGGGAGGGGGGAGACAGGAACCAGAAGAACCACAAAAGGGAGGGGGAAAACCAAGAGGAACCACAGGGGGGGGGGGGAACCACAGGAACCACAGGGGGGGGGAGGGGGATTACCATGGGGGGGGGAGGGGGGGGGGGGGGTGCGCGGATGCTGGCACATATATCTATCTATGTTCTATATTTATTTATTTATAAACCCTAAATCCATAAACCTTAAAACCTTAACACTAAAACCCATACACATAAACTCTCAACCCTATATAACTTAACCCAAAACGATAACCCTTAAGTCCTGGAATGGCATAAAGTTTATAACCAATGTGGCTTCATGTATCATGCGGGCCTTTCCTTAAGTCCACTCGAATATGTCTTTCAATCGCATATATATAAAGTGGAAATGAGGCCTGTTAGAGAGCTTACGAGTCTCATAGAAAAAGCAGCACTCGGACAAACTACGCTCAACAGGTTCTTTTCTTTCGGTTTGGCAAAGCCTCTCGGGGAAAGAAGTGCATGCTCCGGATCCCCCTCGGGATCCCAACACATGTTGGCACTTCGCCAACAGCCCCTCCGGGCTCGTGGAAAAGTTATGGGGCATCTTTCACCCCGCAAAGTTTGGGTGGGAGTGGTGGGTACAAACTTTGCTGCACGGAAGGTTCCCGCCAACCGGACCCACCCTATGTTTGAGCATGCGCGGAACAACAAAGATTCATAAAAGTTCAAATGGAATCTCATGACACATGAAGCGGTTTCGAAAAACTTCTTCAAAACTTTCGAAACCTACCAAAAAGGTTATAAAGCCTTATGGGACTAGTTTGTGATTTTTAGCGTCCCAAAAACGGCTTATAACCAATGTGGCTTCATGTATCATGCGGGCCTTTCTTTAAGTCCACTCGAATATGTCTTTCAATCGCATATATATAAAGTGGAAATGAGGCCTGTTAGAGAGCTTACGAGTCTCATAGAAAAAGCAGCACTCGGACAAACTACGCTCAACAGGTTCTTTTCTTTCGGTTTGGCAAAGCCTCTCGGGGAAAGAAGTGCATGCTCCGGATCCCCCTCGGGATCCCAACACATGTTGGCACTTCGCCAACAGCCCCTCCGGGCTCGTGGAAAAGTTATGGGGCATCTTTCACCCCTGCACTCTTTGCCCCGTGACTTTGAGAACTCTGCCGCTTATGAAGCACACAATCCGATCTTCGAAGTACTCGCCGAAAACAGGGAATCTCCAGTCGGACCGCGAAGGCCCATCGCCGGGGTTCGACTTGCTCGGGACCCGAGCGAACCACGAGATCGCTGGCCCCATCGAGTCGGCACACTCGTAGTGAAGCAAGATGCTCCTCCAGAGATCATCGCGGGAAGACCCTTTGATCATCGCAGACAAAACACCACTGTGATCCACGTAAAAGACGACCCTCTGATCATTCAGGAAATCTTTCCAGACATGTCTGGCCGCCACCACCGCGAAAAGCTCGGTAGGACCTATCAGGTGTCTCTTGCCCAGTCCCGCCCATTGCTCGACGACCGATTCGTCCAGGTAGCACCCGAACGCCCTCGTCTCGCGGAAGCCAGTTGGAAGCACCCGATACATGACACCTCCGATTGAGCAGCTAAACTTGTCCCCCAGCTTGTCGCATGCACCGTCAGTGAAAACAAGAGTCTGGCCGCCAATGGGAAGAACCTGGATCTCGCGCGGCCTGCCCTCAAGCATCCTCTCCCTCAAGCTTCTGAAGACCGTGGCGTCCAGGGAAGACAGAACATGACGGTGACGAGCACTCGAGAGCCAGCGAATCTGAGCCAAAGCCAGGCGCCCCTGTCGTCCCATCAACTGACTTTCCGAAAACTGTATCCGGCCAAACAAAGAGGGGATCTGCTTCGGATCAATACAGCCATCCGCAAGGATCTTATCGATCGAAGAGGCAATTTCCTTGGATCTTTCTGGCTTGTTTTTGACCCTCAGCACTCCGCCCTCCATATCCGTCGCATCCAGTCGGACGCCCAAAACATCGGCCGTCGGTGAGAAGGGAAGGTCCTTGTCGCTCGCCCAATCAACTCCAAAAAGGCGCAACGCTGCCTTCACGGAGGAGTCATGGTTTTCGGCAAGGGCCCTGACCTCCACCGACGGGAAATCGTCGAAGTAGCTCGCCGCAGCGAGCTTCAGCTCCCAGAGAATCCTTTGCCACAGCCTCGAAAACCTGTTGAACTGACCGACCGAGGCCAGGGCCCCGAACGGCAACACGCGGCAGACGAACCCCTTTGTTGAGCCGTCCGCCGGATCCTTCAAGGTCACCACGCACATCCGATGGTGTTCCGGCCGTATAGCGAACTGTTTATAAGCTGAGCGCAGATCCGTAGTCTTCAAGACCGGCGAGCAGCGGCGAGCGTCCTGGTGCCAATACGAATGCAAAGGCCCCGACAAGACGGAGCCGTCGGACTTCCGGAAGAAAACCTCGCGTCGCCCCAAGCTGGCCCTCATCAAAGCCATACATGCCCAAGTGATTTCATCAAGCGCACGCAAACCGATCCTCTCCATTACTGCCCAAGCTTGATTGACGGCATTTTTTCCTTCACCCGCAGCGCTGTCGTTGGTCAACGCCTCGCGTAGGCCCTAAGCGAGCACACGGTAGTTGTTGTGTGCCGGCAACTTCAAGTTGCTAGGGCACTCCGTGCCGAAGCACAAGAGCGAGTGCCTGCACGCCCGACACGAATGTACAGCGACGTGCACGCTACAGAAAACTAAGTACAAAGCTCGAGTCAAGGATCTAGAAAGGCATATGCGACAATGACAAAGAAGTACACTGTACAACTAACGGTTTTTTTTACCGAAGTTCAGCGGGCTCAGACAGTAAGCAAAAAATGAAAGCATCATAGATGGACATGTCGCTTCATGCAGTGCCGCCCTCGGCACTCTCCCAGACTCTGCGAAGAAAGACTGCATCACAATCTCGAGCATGAATGGTCGTATCACTGAGCTTGACAGCTTTGGCACTCTTACCATTGGTATGCGTATGCCATCCAGTCTTTTTGAGGCTCGTCCAGTAACGAGCGCCGAAATGACCATCGGAAGCAGAGCACAAGACCACAGATATTATGTGATATGTCACGGCATGCGTTGTAGTACCCTCCGCACTGAAGCACGGCACCTGAACTGTGGTTGGCGCTTTGCCTTCCTTAATCAGTCGCCACTCACCCGCTGCACTGTTGAGCCACCTGGGGGACATGACACAAAGCAGCTGCGGAGCTTGGACAAGAGCACAACGATCGTCCTGGATTCGCCAATCTGAGAAAAGAGCAGTCAAATCCAGATCGCATGTATCATCATTGATTGTAGCCTGCAGGCATAGCGGGAGCCAGGTGTCACCAGCATGAGTACAAGTGCAAACGCCGTGATGAGAGGTTCTAGCCTCCCATCTGCCTTTCAGGGCCGGTGAGGCAGCCTTGGGTATATGTGTTGGAGCCACCGCAAAACATCGGCCTTCTTAGGATCCCAACCTTGTAACGAGGATCGCCACGGAAGTGAGGATGCCAGCCTGAAAGAGGCGCCCAATGCAACGAAGGATTTGACGGCATGTGCAAGGGTTCCTGCTATGAACTCGATGTCATAATGGTCGGCTCCTGCCATAAGCCATGCTATCATGCATGCCACCATATAGCCATGCCGATCGTGCAACGTGAACGGTGTAGCTAAGAGCCCTGCAGCCTTCAGCGGCGTAGCGCGGCCGCCATTTTGGCAATCTGCTGTGCCAATGGCTGTAGGTTCACCCGCTCGCCCCGAATGCGCACTCCCACGGTTCTCAAAGCTGCACTGCCCGTCAGGTCGCTCAGGATGTCGTGGGCTTGTTGTGCCTTGGTTCCTCTCATCGCCACCGACAGGATGAAAGGCATCGTGTCGCCCATGACCGATTCGGTGAGCTTTCGGGTGGAGTGAAATCGGTGAATGAGCCGTTCGGTCTCGGAATTCACCAACGCCTGGAGGTTGGTCGCTGCCCGCAATATCGTTGAGTGGCCCACGGGTGGTTTGCTCGGATCCAGCTCCAGCTGTCGGGTTTGCTGGTTCCATTGCTGAAAGTTCCAGTGCAGCTCGTCGACGCCCTGCACTTTCACCCATCCCTGTGCCTCCATCTTCTTGACCGTCTCCGCATCCTTGGTCATGATGTCCAGCCTCGCCATCCACTCCGCGAGGACGCACTTGATCAAGGCCACACGTAACGAGCTGGTCACGGTTGGTGGAGTTTTGTCTTTGCCTGCTTTCCACACTTGGGCCACCTTCCATAAGGGGGAGAGCATTCCCTGAGGGCCAGACTCCAGATGCAGCAGGAATTGCTTCTCCGTTCGAAGAAGCTGCAACTCTTCCTCTTGCTTCAGGGTCAGCCGACACAAAGCTTCCATCAGCCTCTCGAGATCCGCACGGTGCTGCGGCCGCCAACTGTGGTAATCCCAGTCGTCGCGCTCCCAATTGTTCCAGCTTCCCCTGTTCTTTGCATCGTTGCCCCGGTGGCCCCCTTTGCCCTTGCCCAACTGTGATCTGTGGAGCGTCTTGTCTCCCATCGGCTCTGGCCTCGAACGTTTGCCCCGGTTGGGCATGTCGAGGTCCTCTGTCTCCCGCTCCGGCACTTCCTCGAGAGATCCCGCCTTGAGGTTCGCCAATGCCGGCAGGCAGTTGGCGAACACATCCTGAATCTCCGCATCGTAGGTCATGCCTCATGCAGATTTGGAGTGCATGCTGCAGTAGAGGAACACATGTGTGCACGTGCTCGGCCTTCTTGCTGGATTTGGCCCCACACAGAGAGCAAGGAATCGAAACTGAGCCCACCCACGCTGCACAAAGAAGTTGCACTTTAGGCTGCATGTCACGCCAAAGCTCACTGTGCTGGCGTTGCATGTGCGTTTTGTAACGCTGTTTGGAAAGGTCTGCACGACAGATCTGACATGTACCGAGCATTGGTTTTACCTCCTCAGCTGAAGGATAAGGCTCATCGCTCGGCGCCGTCATGTCAGCGGCATCCTTGGGACCTCCATTAACGAACCATGACATTGCCAACTGAAACAAGGCCGGGCATGTGGCACGATGATCCCTGCCTTGTTGGGCCTTGTGTCCGCACCACTGACATGTCCCTTTGATGGGGGCAAGGTTGTTGGTGCACCACACTCGCAAACGAGAACTGTGCGCCTTCCATTCGTCCTTGTGGACGCGGCCGTAGTGGACCTTCATATAATTCTCATTGGGCAACCATTGCCTGCACAACGCACACCGCTCGAGGAGCTCCTTTTTGAGGTCGTCATTCGGGGGGTTGAGCATGACCTCGGGAAACACAATTTCATCAGCAAGGACCTTGGCAAGCAGTGGGGGGTGGACGTCATCATAGCCAGCTCGCTCGGGGGCTTGGCATCGTCCAAGTTGCACATGTCGCTGTAATTCCTCCCATGTGCCGAACTTGTGCCCGCAATTGACGCACTGCGGGAGGCCGTCCTTACCATGAAGTAGCCGATCGAAGCTCTCACCCTTGGCCTTGTTCTCGCCACTGCGATGGACCTTGGCACGATGTTGACGGAGTGATGCTGCCGTGGGGAAGCGTTCGCCACAATCAGGACAGGGCAAATCATCGGTGGCCCCCGTGTTGGAGGAGTCAGCCGCCAGTTCCTGTAAGCCGTGTAACACCTCAGTTTCATGGGCCAGCAGCGCGGCATCGAGCCTGAAGTCGCCGGGGGAAAGCTTGGCGCGAAGCTGCTCCGTTCGGTCCAAAGTGTTCCGTTGCCTGTCGATGAGAAGCTGCAGAGGAGTTGGCATTCCCAGGTTGAGCAGGAATTGAGCGTCAGACTCCAGTGTCAAATGCCGTGGCCGTCCAGCTATGGCCCGAAGTTGCCTGAGGAGTGCAACCCTAATGCATGAAGCACCTTTCTCAGTGAGTCCCGAGGCAGTGAGCGAGTAGAAGACCGTGGGTAGCACATAGGCCTTCCAGAGTCTCAGCCGTTTCGCCAATGGCCACGTGCGTTTAGAGTGAAGATGCTGGCGAAGCCGGTTGTAAGTGGCAATCCCTGCCTGGCAACGGTGCGTGGCATTAAGTTCTTCGAACCGACCAAAGGAGATGATGGCTCCAAGATATGTGTGCTGGGCCTTGATGGGTAAAGTGAGGTCCTGGTTCAGCCAAAGATGGTGCTTGCCCTCATGTTTTACAACGATCTTCCGACGATAGGCCTCGGCTTGAGGGCCCGCCAAATTGAGGAGAATAGCTGTTTTGTCCTTACTCACCGTGAGGCCTTGTTGTTCCAACAGGTTGATGATGGCCGTGGCTTCTGAGATCGCGGCCGCCACATCCTCTCGAGAGTGGAACGTCCACTTGAACAAGTTGTCATCGGCATATCCAATCAAGCGCTGCCTGCACCAATCAACCCCAAGCTGCTGCTCCAAAAGATGAGTGAGGTAAACAACCACACAGTTCCATAACGAAGGTGATAGCCTGCACCCCTGACGGATCCCCCGGGAAGTCGGGAACGTTTGCGCGTGGCCTTCTTTCTGCACTACATAGCCTGTCCTTCGCTTAGCTTCGTGGTTAGAGGTTGGGGTTATCCGTTCTTTCAAAAGTAGCCTCGCAAACTAAAAACAAACGACTTTCTATAAATGAGAATCAGATATCGTATCTTCCAAATGAATCCAACTGGAATAAATATGTGACATGCGAAAGGAAATACGTCGAGCAATCAGGAGCACTCGGACGACACTCATTTTATTCGCAGCGGTTGGTAGTCTCGCGGTGCCCTTGGTAGGGCGGATGCATGTTGATGCATCCCACCCCCCCGCGGCATGGAACGGTCTATTCTCGGAAATGCTCTGGCATTCCAGGGTGGGTTGGGTGGGCTAAACAAAATTTATCGGGCCACGGCCTGAGCCTGACGTGGCTACCTGTTCAACGCTTCAACTTCGCGATACGGCAAGACTGATCTGAAATAAGATGGTTCGAAATCACTCAAAAGAAATTCATGCCAAAAGGAGAAAACAAAATCTGACCGAGGAAATTATTTTCTTTCAAGCAAGAGCACGGGATCCGCCTAAGATCCAAGTCCTCAGACAACAACCCCCCCCCCGCCCGTCGGCTAGCTCCGGACAGATCTACAGGGTGAAACCCGGTTTAGCCTGTCCTTCGCTTAGCTTCGTGGTTAGAGGTTGGGGTTATCCGTTCTTTCAAAAGTAGCCTCGCAAACTAAAAACAAACGACTTTCTATAAATGAGAATCAGATATCGTATCTTCCAAATGAATCCAACTGGAATAAATATGTGACATGCGAAAGGAAATACGTCGAGCAATCAGGAGCACTCGGACGACACTCATTTTATTCGCAGCGGTTGGTAGTCTCGCGGTGCCCTTGGTAGGGCGGATGCATGTTGATGCATCCCACCCCCTTTCCCCTTCAGGGACGCACTACCAAGGTGTTTTCTCTGCCTTCCTCTTCTGAGGACGATGCCCCGAGGCATCCTGCTGAAGCACGGCCTGAGCCCTTCGTGCTGAGTCGAAGCTTTCTTTTGTCTCCCACAACTGATGCAGGAGCGCAAGAGGCAAATCCGAGTATGTGCATGCAATGCGATGTTCGTCCGAGAAGTTAGTGAAAATCTCATTCGTAAGCTGGTCTGCGTACTGATTCTCATCGCGTGGCCTCCACCGTAGGAGGAGCTTCAAGGAAGAGCGAAGAAGCAAATCAGACAACTGCATGTTGATCAACATCAGGGGCCACTTGGTTGAGGACCCCTTCTTGAGCAATCTCGAGTTGCCCTGATTGTCTGTGTCCGCCGCGCACTCGACGTCCAGTTCCTTTCTGTCCACAGAGGCGGTCAAGTATCCGAAGATGTGAAGGGCCGCCAATGTTGCCAGCAGTTCTGCTGAGCCTGATGCCCATTGTGATTTCCCCTCCTGATCAAACAAGTATGGTGCGTCACTCGGTGTCAAGCGCAGCGAAAACCATTTTGAACTTTTGGTGTCATCACTTAGCTCCCAACCGGCCAACACGACGAATCCGTCGGCACACTTTGCATCTGTCCTGAAGCCCGCGACCTGGTGTTTGGGTTTGCGGCATGGGTTAACCTTAAAAGTGTACTCATCAAGCGTCTTCTCCAAGTACTGGAGTGTCAAGATGACAGTCTCGGGCAACTTGGCGACGGTGCTCCGGGACACCGCTGATGCCCACGCATACAGTGGAGCAAGGTGAGGCTTAATCCAAACCACTATCCTAGAAACAAACCCCAACCGGCCAAGGAACTCCCTGAAGAGTCGGACCTGAACCACGAAGCGTTTGGTCCTGGCATCCTTGATCCACGAAACGATCCAAGCTCCTCGAGAGTCCGACATGCCAACTTGCCACGATCGGTAGTCGAGCTCGAAGCCTACGAAAGGAACCTTAAAACCTCCCCGAAACTTCTTAAAGGAGAAAGGGGTCCCTAAGGCAAGGTACAAGACGAACCACATCACCAGATTTCGGAACTTATGTGCTCCAGTGAACACACCGTGGATGTCGTCCACGAAGCAAAGTTGATAGAACCATTCCTGAAGCATTGCTCGGGCGACTGTTCTGCCCACGAGCCCGAACAATCTGCTCCACCAAAATGAAGCGACGCTCAGTCCGAATGTTCCTACAACATTGACCCAAACGACGGTGCTTGAAGAATCTGCTTTACATGCCATCAAGGGGTGATCCCGACGCCTGTGTTTGACAAGCCGGTGTGCTGCACTCACGTCAGCTGAGATTCCGAAGGCTGCCTCGCGCGATCGTTTAGCAGAGCTCACTGCGTGTGCCACTTCTGCAGGGCCCGGCGTGGCCGTTTGGTTCAGCAAGCGAATGCCATTGTTGATCCTCACCCCGTGGGTGCCATCATGTAGGGGACGGACGCTGCCGTCTGGCTTGGCGACCGCCCCCATCGCCGCTATACGAACCCTGTCCGCTCCATGCTCGGCTGCCAAAGCGGAGTAAGTGGTAGGGTACATCCGCCCAAGCTTCTCCTCCTCCCTGAACTTCAGCTCCATCTCCTGAACGGTGAGCTTCGCGCTCTGGTAATTTTCTTTGACAGCCTCGAAGGTGCTCTCATCAAGCTTTCTCCATTTGACCTTCCGATCGAAAACCTGCGGGACCCTAGGTATGGTCTCGTCGTAGCCCAATGGGACACCCTTTTCAAAGCACTCCTCGCCCTCTGTCAAGATTTTCCAGTCTGGATCTTCCAGCAAGCGCGATGTGTGCGAGAGCAACCGAAGGTAGAAAGGCTGTGGATCAGGAACTTCCAGCAAACCTTCGTGTTTGGCTCCATCCGTCTCACATACAAGTGCAGCCCAGTCCTCGCGAAGGCGTCGCATTGCACCCTCCTCGAAAGGCGATTCCAGAATCTGTCCGGTGGCCAACTTGAGTGCCAGCAACTGGCAATCTGGCACCTGCTCTGCGACAAATTGCTGCACCAAGCCATTCAAGCGTCTCGACAGGTCCTTTGATTTCTCTGGTAGCGATGCTCCACGGGAGGCAGGATGCCAACGCGTTGGAGAACAAAGGCCATAGCCGTCAGTGATAGGCGACTCTCTCCCGTCCCACTCCAGCATCAAGGGGTTTCCGAAGTTGCCACAAAGCTCTGGTCTGAAGACATCGTCTGCTTGCTGGTCCTTGCCACCAGACGGGTGTTCCGACTCAGAGCTCTCCGTCGATGACAGCTCCCCGGCATCCAAGGTCCTCCCTGTCAACTGGCTTGCGGAAGGGCAATTGATTCCAAGGTCCTCAAGAAGCTGCGCATCCGCTTTCTTCAGCTCCTCAGTCTTCGACACCGTGAATGCGACGGCAATCAGTCGGCGGCCCTTCCAAGGCATAGTGCAATGCAAGATGCCACGAGCATCGAAGCACAAGCCTTCTGGGGGAATCGGCACTGCCGTCCCAAACACTTCAGAGCCCCCAAAGTTTTGAGGTGTAGCACCCTGGTCTTGTTGCATCCACAACTCGCCCCCAGAAAACTGGGTAAGAGGGATTATCAAGTTCTCGCAGCAAGCATTGCGGCTGTCCTTATGGAGGGCAGTGCACACATTGTCGTAAATGCTGATGGTGCTGAAAGGATGGAAAGGACGCATGCTTCGAACAAAACGGACCAAGCACTTGGTGGCCAGCGGGAAATCGTGGCATGCCTTCCTCAGGCCTGTCAAGCCTCCCTTGTTGTAGGCACCCGTGGAGAAGGAGCTCGGGATGCGGCCCTCAGGGTCACGGGCTGACACCTCCTTCGGCAAAGCTTCGTACAAGCGAATGATGTCCTCGGCGCGGGGCGCCTCATCTTTCGAAAGGATCTCACAAGCTAAAGCCTCGGCGTTGTGGGCATGTGCTTCCGAAGAATCGGGGCCTAAACCACTATCTGCCTGAGGGCCTAAACCACTAGCAGCCGGGGAAACCGAACCGGAGGGACCCTCTGGCGGGCCAGCATTCCTTCCTGCGTCCCCCCTTGTGCGCAGCACCGAAGGAAGGATGGAATGCAAGAGGTAATCACACAGAGCTGTCGGCCACTCGACAGAGGAGGCCGTATTCCAATCACGACCTTGGCGACCTACCAAAGGCTTCGGATGATGGCTGTGAGGGCAGCGAGGTGGAAGCGGGCCCGTGTAGCAGCCTTCCGCATCGAATGTGGGCCAAACGCTGTTTGGTGGCAGCTGATGTTTTAGTTTCTCGGAATTACAGAGGAAGCGGCTGGGTTTAGCAGTGGGTGCACCGAACGCACAACGGAAGTATGCCCAAGTTGTGGTATTATGCTGGACTTGCAAGTCGCGCACCTGAGGCAACTGCCAAAATGACGCTGGCCGCTCACCGTCCTTGGTGGCACCCAAATCCTCAGGGCTCTCAAGCACAAAGCAGCCTCCTGCGGATGCACAGGCGGATGCAGCTTCTACACATCGCTGGAACAAGGAATTTGCCGTCTTAGTGATTTACGAAACGTGGTTAAAAACAATCACATATTCGGGCATAGCCCAATCAATCATATGTTATAAAAAGAAGCAATCTTCAAATATTGAAGCTTCACTTGCAATCACTCGGACACCTTCGCTATTTTGGCACCTTCGGACTGCGATCAGATCAAGGGGAGAAACATGTGCACCACCGACGATCCAAGGATAACACAGGCGAACCTGTTTCCTTCAACGGACCCGTCATTCCCGGGCGGGTGGGCGGGAGAAAAATTGTTCAGTCAACGGTCACTGCAGTGTGTTTCCCAGCTATGTGCATGTGCTGACACGTGACCTACGGACACACTGAACTTAGGCCAAAGGCTTTTGCACTCGAACAACTGATTCCACGTCAAAGTAAAAGTGTGACATGAAATCAAGAGCGCACGGATTTTAAATAAGTTGTAAAATTTGAAATTCCTACGTTTCGCGTCGCCTCTATGGGCGACTATAAATCAAAGACAACTCTGTCCGCCCGCGGAGAACGTCGTCTTAGTGATTTACGAAACGTGGTTAAAAACAATCATATATTCGGGCATAGCCCAATCAATCATATGTTATAAAAAAGAAGCAATCTTCAAATATTGAAGCTTCACTTGCAATCACTCGGACACCTTCGCTATTTTGGCACCTTCGGACTGCGATCAGATCAAGGGGAGAAACATGTGCACCACCGACGATCCAAGGATAACACAGGCGAACCTGTTTCCTTCAACGGACCCGTCATTCCCCAGCAGACGTCCGAATGCAGTCACAAGAAGATCGGAGGTGCTTTGTCCTTGTAGGACGTAGCGAGAAGGCTCCACGGAAGATCATCCACGGACAAAATTTCCGAAGTCAGGTCCGATGCAATCTGACTGCAGTCGACAATCTTGCCTCCTATCAGCTTTGCCGCCTCAGCGCATTCTCCCCTGCTAGGGAGATCAGCGATATTGCTCGCAGAAGGAACACGCTCCAGCCATGAAATGACTCCGTCATGAGACTCACTGGCGTAAAAGGAGCAGGCCAAGGAGAGGAGGGTTCGGCTCGGACTGCTCGCCTTAATGCATACATAGCGCGCCGCATCATTGTCGACATAGAACACGCATCTGCGGCACTGCAGGTGGTCCTTGAAAGCTCTCCTTGCCAGAACCAAAGCAAAGGCCTCGGCCTGTGAAATGACTTGTTCAACTCCTTCATCAAGCCAAAACTGCACAAGGTGATCATCTACAATCCCGCCAGCTACCAGCCTCTCACCAGAGACAGGGTCTGCCAAGACAATGCCCCATGCCGCCACTCCATCTTCGTAAGAGGCGTCGCTGAAGACTGACACCGGCCTCCCGCCTGACCTCAGCCTGATGACCTTGGGCTCCAAGCTCAAAAGCGCAGACTCAAGGTAGCGGCCCAAGGACTTCACCTCCTCGTCAGGCTGATCCCGTGGAAAGTGATAAAGGTTTGACAAGGCTCGCGCAGCAAATTTCAAGGAACGGCCGGAAGCGAAGCCCACCATGAAGTTCAGTTGGCCATGAAGGGATGCAGAGTCACTCTTGCTCACAACCCCACTCGCAGCCATTCTCCTGGCTGCCTCAACGAGCTTCTGGACCCGGCTGGGCTTGTTCTCGAGCTCGAGGATGTCATCCATTATTCTAGAAACGCCCAGCCGCATGCCAAGGAGGTTGAAGGTTTCCTCAAAAGGCTGACCCTTGTCGTCACCGACGGCATAAGACCATCCCAAGGAGTCAAGCAGGGTTTCCACCGAGAGGCTGCACATCCTAGAAGACTCAGCAGGCTCGATCATAGGATAATCATCAAAATACACGCCTCCTATGACGGCGCAAAGGTGCGATGCCAGATGTAAGAGCGACCTGGATATGCGATTAAATCCAAACACGGCCGCGCATGCGCCGAACGGCATGCTCCAAGTGGTAAAATATCTGTTGCGGCTGGTGTTCGGGTCCCATACCATTATGACGGCTAGGGGCAAGTGAGCGGCCAATATGGGAACCTGCTTATACGCCTTTCCCAGATCGAGACACCTTCCAAGCCAGCGCCGCCCCGATCGAAAGTCACTGTGCACAGCCCCACTCAGCACTGTCCCGTCGGACAGCTCGACATTGACTGCACCCGAGTCGTCCACGGAGTTCGCCAGAAACCTTATCAAGGAAACAAAGTAGTCGACGTCATGCAGCTGCAAGCGATCCACCGCGTGGTAGGCAGAATTTATGGCACTCTCCTTGAAGTCGTCGATGGGGCGATACTTCAAAGCATCGCCTGCACCTTGCTTCACCCCAAAGCGCCGGCTGCAGCAGATGTGAGAAACTCCAAGGGCCTTCTTAACGTCCTCTTCCGAATCGTAGGGCCCCGAGATGAAGCCCCTCTCCACCTCCGAAAGTGTAGCCTGCCAGATTTTCTCGGCTAGGACGGGGTCGTCCCCAACTCTGCCCTTCGCCGCCAGCGCAGGGTTCCTCCACACGGAGGAAACAAGAAGATCATCCAACGTTGTGGTCGCCGGCTGCTCCTTCCACCCATACAAGGAAGACTTACTAGGCCTACCGACCAGTGGGACGCCCTCCATGAGCTCAGCGACCGTGATGTCTGGGAACCCGGTCTCCTCAAGGAGCTTCTTCCACAACAAGATGTTCTTCCCCTTGAGCACCTTTTGGGCGTGCTCCGGAAGGGAGGCGTGAAAACGCTTCTCCTCGACGGCAAGCTCACGCTTCAACGCTGAAAGCTTTTTCTGAGTGTCCATCCGCCTGCGAGCAGGGCCCAGGAGACCCATGGTGAGCAACTCGAAGACGTTCCTTTTGGTCTGATCGTCAATGGCAAAGGCGGAATCAAAGGGGTGCTCAACTTCCAGCGCCTTCTCAAGGAACTCACCCTTAGAGTGAAAGACTCCAAACGTGGAGCCCTGAGTTGAGCCGCTCCCGCCAACACCCCGATCTGAAGCGAGCTCGCGAAACTCACCACTTTCAGGGCGGACATTTGTGAAGGATTTGTACTCAGGCACGAGAGGAGGCTTCCGATGAACCTGACGAACCAAAGGCCTAGGCAGGTTGGGCGGCTGGGCATTGACCAGCGGGCACAAGAGGCGAACGTACTGTTCGCACAAAGGCAAAGGATACTCGGCCTCGGAAGCTGTGTCGAATTTCCAAGAAGAGGCCGCACCTCTGAAGATGCGGTACGGCTCGTGAGGGTGATCATTTTGACAAGAAGCCACCAAGGAGCGAAGCTCGGGCACATTGGTCAAGAACCTGGAAGTTTTGCGACGGCGACCGCCCCAGCAGCATTGATCAAAATCAAAAGTGAACAGCTCGGAGTACCATGACCGAAAGCGAGGCTTGTCAAGCGCGCGCACAAAGTGGGCTAGAACACTCCACATCCAAGAACGAATGGGGTTCTCAATGACAATGCGCCAGCCTTGATCATGTGCTCGCACAAGCACCTGCACCACGAACTCGGCCAGTCGGTTGGCGGCCTCCACTCTAGCAGACTCCTGAGGACTCAAGGAAGGGAGGCCCAAGACGTGCACATGGTCTCGGAGCGGGCGAGGCTGAGGAGCACCACTGGCTCGCAGATGTTGGGGAAGTGGCGCCTCGCGGGCACGCGATCCTGTGCCACAAGGCAACCCAAAGTGAATCAAGAAGACACTGGAATTCTCGAGGCGGCTCAAGAAGATCTGTTGGCAAATCGGCAATGTCAGGTCAAGCGTACACACAGGATGCTCAGGCTGATGCGGGTTCCGAGGGCCATCAAAGGGCATGACCTTGAAACCAACCCGGGCGAACGTAGCTGACAAGCGAGCACAGCCAGCGAACACCTCAACAAAGGCAGGAGCATTCGGAGGCACAGGAGGAAAACCGGGCGAAGCTGCAGAGACATGCGCCAGCGCATCTGACGTTGAAAGCTGGCTTGCCGGGTAAGGGGGCCTAAACCCTAGGGATGCTAGGGTCTGGGCGTCCTTTGCAGAAAGGCGATCGGAGCCCCTGAGGCTGAATGCCACAAGAACGACTCGCTGACCTGTCCAGTCACAGGTCCCGTGGCGTCGAGTCCGGGCATCAAAGAAGACGCCTGGCTTGACATCCAAAAGGGCCTCAGAACCCTGCGGCCCGCCTTCAAGTCGAATCTGTCCGCTTTCGAAGGAAGACAGGGCAATGGCAAAGTTCAAAGTGCCCTCCAGATTATTAGGATCTAGGTGCATCTCAGTCCGTAAGTTCGCAAAGACAGCAATGTTACTGAAAACAAACTCCTCAGGAGTGTTTTCCACTACAAAACGGCAAAAGGGTTTGATACTCTCAGCATGCAAGGCGCAAGACCGGCGTAGACCGGCCAGCACACCGAAAATGTAGGCCCCAGCTTGAAACACCTTCGTTGAAGAAGTCGATCCAGGGCGAGGCGCAACCTCATTAGGCAGCGACTCGAAAATGTCGAGAAGGGCCGTCGCCTGAAGACGGGGAGCAGCGTCATGCACCGAAGCCTCAGAAGTGTCACCACCGAGTCAGGCCCCGCCGAGCGGGCAAGCGCTATAGCTGTGCTCCTTGAAACACTTCCAACATATATGGAAACCTCGTCTGCACCGCTTGCCATCCTTGGCAAACTTACAGCCCGCCCTGTTGTACGCAAAGCATATTGGCTTGCCATTGTGTTTGGCGCTGCATCCAGATGGGAGGTCCACTTGCGCCGCCCCTCCTGCGGGAGCACCGGTCGATGCTTTCCCTTTTCCCTTGCCTCCAGCTCCCTTCTTGCCCTCCCCTTTGCCATCATAAGGAGAGTAGCGGAGAGGCTTCTGCGGTGGCATCAAGAAGAACTGCACCTGAGGATGGTTCTTGAGAAGCTCGAGCTGCTGTTGCAAAGGCTTAGCACCATCCGGGCGAGCAGTGAGAGAGCCCCGGGTTTGCTCTGCGATCCTGATGAACAAGTGCTTATCAGCTTCTCGGATTTGGCCCATTGAGACGTAGAGGGCATTGGGAGGTGGAGGCCGAGTGAGGAGCTGGAACAACTCCTCATGGTAGGTTTCCATGACAGCATAGTCACACAAGCGGGCGAGGTCATACGCCAACGCGCGCCTCTGAAGCGCTTGTCGAGCTTGGAGCTCACCTGTCAGAGTACACTGGCTCTCCTGCATCTTCTTAGTCAGCCTCATGTTGCCCTGAGCATCAAACAGGATGGCGTTGTCGGAGCGAGAATGCGTCAACTCATGAGCCCGACTTGTCAACTTCTCCCAAGGCAACCACGTCAGCTGCTGATCCGCGCCCTGCTGGAAGACAACATCCACAAGGCGGTGAGAAGGTTCAGACTCACTGTTGATGCACACGCCCACAAGGCGCTTTTTCTGCTCATCCAGACGTGTTGTTCTTTCCGCTATGGCTAGACGAACTGGTTCAGCAGAGTCATTTCTTTCTACTTTCTGCTTCAACTCCCCCATCACTGTGGTCGAGGCTTCAAACCACAATCGCCTGACTGGGATCAGCTCCTCCGCGGTCAAGTCGCGCCCTATCAGGGCTTTGAGGGCTTCAAGAAGAGGTTTCTCATCTGCTTGACCGATTTGATAGGGGCTCACAAAGGCTAGCGCGCCCATCGTCTTCACGTTGTTGTTCACAAGCAAATCCAAGAGAGCGCGCTCCATGCCGAGCTCGGTGGCCCGGGCAGCGAACGTGGCTTCGCTGTCAATTGTCGAATTCATGGCTGCTACTGTCCCGTCCTTCAAGGACGGCCTGAACTGCGCTCTTCCTCGCTCTAGCCAACAAGTCAGGACTGTCGTCAGCAAGGCAACTTTGGATGCAGCTCAGAGAATCAGAACCACCAAGAGCTCGGCACAACGCCCGTAGGACTGCCTGCCCCACTCGCGCCTGCAGTCATAATTCCTTTCGCGCGAGACAAGGTCACACTGTTACTGTGGTGAGGCCACGGAATGCCCAAAGTGAAGAGCGCCCCACGACCTTACGCCCTCGACGCCCAACGGACAACGCCCCGACGTGGGGTCTCCGTTAGGTCAGGATAAGGTGAGGCTCAAATCATCTGAGGAGTCATAGCGACTCGCCTCCACCCTTTACGCCCTCGACGCCCAACGGCCAACGCCCCCAGTAGGGGGACTCCGCCAGGTCTGGCAAAGGTGAGGCTCGAATTGTCTGGCGAGTTTGCTCCTGCTCTTGCGCCCTCAACGCCCAGCGGTCAACGCCCAATTGGGGCTCCGCCAGGTCAGGCCCAGGAACACACGACAAAATTTCGGACTCTGACACAGAACTCACCCCTCGATCCCAAAATCACTGCTGGTACTTCTGCGAGCACTGAGCGCATACCGGCAAGTCTCGGAGGGGAACATCCGGATCGATGGCCTCATAGTTTGGAGAGAGGTTCCTCCCACATAGGAACTTGGATCCTTTCAGGATGTGCACCACCCTCGAGTAGACATGCATCCGACTATCTTTAGCAATGTCCAGCTCAGCTGCACTCAATCGCTCCATCGAGGCGCACGCTCCTCCAGCGGCCATGTCCCCGTCGCCGAAGTCGCCTTCCTCGTCATCGGACTCCTCCATAGAGGGATCGCCTTGCACAGTCTGTTCAATAAGCAGCTCCGTGCCACCAGACTCAATCAGCTTCGCGAGGCGCCAGACCTTCGAGGCATCCGGCTTGAAGGCTCCTTTCCTGATCTTTTCCACCAAAAGATGAACTACCTTCATGAGTCGGGTCTGCTCGTCCCTCGCATAAGTAAGCGGCGACACCACTCCCGGATCTATGTGATGCCCCAGCAAACGTCGATCAGCGAGAGGGACATCCGTGGATTTTGCAGCCCAAGACAAGACAGTGCACTTCAGAGAATGACACCCTAAACCAGCAGTCATCTGGGAAGCCGCTGTCATGAACTCCCTAAGATAACAAGTGGCCTCCCCCGTGGACATAGGACGGTTAAGCCACTCACCAGTCACCTCGGAGAAAGCCGGGAGCGCCGGGCCGAGGCCAAGACCAGCAGCCTCGCGCTCCTTAGCCCAAACTTCTCCCCACGACTCCTCAGCGAAGAACTTTCCCAAGGAGGCCAAAGGAAGGAGCTGGTCCTTCCTCGAAGCCGTCTTCCACTTCGAGCTCTCTGCCTCAACCAGGGTAACACCCTGAGCAGTGCTGACCTTGAGGCTGGTCAGCTGCAAGGAATCGGCGAATCGGCAGCTAGACCCTATGCACATCAAGAGGTGACCCGCAATGATTCGCCAATGGGGGTACGGGGACTTCAGGACCACGTACTCCAGGCCTTTCACCTGCTTCACTGTCAAAGGTACTGCCTGAACAAGCTTCCTCTTCAAGGAGTACATGCGCTGCGCAGCACCCTTCACTCTAGCAGACAAGGCCCCCAAAGCGTCCGGGCTACAGAGCTTCAAAGTGTGGACAGCGAAGTTCCAGGCCTGAAGGAAAGCCGAGGCGGATGTCGGCTTGCCATGTTCCTCGAGGTGCGACATGTATCGGTACAGAACCTTCTCGCCAGCCCCGAGCGGATTTCCCAGACCATTGTCAAAACAAAAGTTGGCAAACCTCCAAAGCGACGAGGCTCTCTTCACTAAGGTAGCTGTACTCTTGCCATGGAAGACATCCAAGAAAGTTCGCCTCATCTGATCGCCGTCTCGCAGAATCAAAGCCTCAGCCGCAAGTGACTGCCCCACCTGAGACAGCGCCGGGTCAAGCAAAACCAGCGTCCTGAACTTCCTCAGAGCTTCCCAGCGAGAACTGTCGTCTGTAGCCAGGAGAGCTGCAATCCTAAGACGCTCCCTTGCAAAGTTGGGCACCGGCTGTGGATGCACCAGAGGCACCCCCGCATCAACAGCAGATCCTGAATCGGGAGACAGGTCCCGAGGTAGCTCCAGACGCGGCCTCTTGAGTGGCCCACCAAAGATCCAAGAAAGGGGACCCGTCTCCCAAGGGAGAAGAGGAGTCTTTCGAGACGCCTCGCCCACCTTTATGTGCCAAGACAAGTCCTTGATGAGAAGGGACTGAGCATCCAGAACAAGCGGCCTCTCGGCAGCGACCAAGGCCGCATGAAATTCGGATGGCCCAAGCAAAGCGTCTGAGTTAGGCTGACCCGCCATATCCCAATTGAAAAGTCAGCAAAGGTCAAAATTATGGCAGGTCTGAGGCAGACTGCACGCCTGGCTCAAGAAACACCCGACAGGCAGTCCTCAAGCTCTGAATAATCCCTTCGAGCCACGAGAGACGTTGGTGGTGGCCGGTCTGGTTCACCCAGGCACGAGCAAGGGACTCTTCCAAAGCCTGCAATGCGGACCTGAGAGTCTGAATTTCAGCACGGAGGGCGTTGACCTCCAATTGGAGCTCGTAAATGTGCTGACTGTGAAGCTCGCGGGTGCTGGTAGAGCTCTCCTCGGAACGGCCTGAAGAACCAGCGGCGAGGGCGTCGCCGAAGTCCATGGGACGAGAAAAATTGTTCAGTCAACGGTCACTGCAGTGTGTTTCCCAGCTATGTGCATGTGCTGACACGTGACCTACGGACACACTGAACTTAGGCCAAAGGCTTTTGCACTCGAACAACTGATTCCACGTCAAAGTAAAAGTGTGACATGAAATCAAGAGCGCACGGATTTTAAATAAGTTGTAAAATTTGAAATTCCTACGTTTCGCGTCGCCTCTATGGGCGACTATAAATCAAAGACAACTCTGTCCGCCCGCGGAGAACGTCTTCTCAACTTTAATTCTATTGTCGTCTGACAACCATGGAAAACCTGTGGGCCAGGCTTCCGACCTGAGTGGGGCCGGCCCTGGCCGTTTATGCCTGGCCCGCGACATCGTTTCAAGTGGCGGGCTTGCCAAGAAAATCCAATCTCCCTGGCACAAGCACTGCAGAATCGAATCCCAAAACCGATCAGTCATCAAGTCAGGATTGTGAAACTCGTATCCCCTGCACTCGCTGACCCCAGGCTGCAAAGCAAGGTATGCCTGCACGGAGGGCAGACCGAAGCACATGATTTTGAGGCCAGCGGCTGGGGACCGTCACTCGGCTTTGTTGCTGCCTTGCGAAAGCTCCTGGTGGCGGATGGCCGGATGTTCTTTATAGCAGCCCTTGACCCTGCACACGTGTGCGCGCCCACAGTTGCCCTGGCAACCCTGATTGTTGTATGCGAAACAGATGTCTTTGCCATCCGGTGTCCTCCAGACGAGCTGTAGGCCTCTGAATGCACCTTTCTCTTCGCCTTTGCCTTTCCCTTGCTTGCCTTTCCCTGTCCTAGGATCCTTGCCTTTGCCACCTTTGTCACCTTTCTCCCCCCTGCGTGTCCACTTTGATGGCATGGGGAAAGCGGTCAAGGTTAGGGGAGTGACAAAATGAACTTCTTTAAGCTCGGTATCCTTAGTCACGGCTGCCAAAGCATCTTGAAGCGTCTGACCTTCATCGTTCACTAGCCTGAAAGCTTCTTTCCTCAACTTGTATTCATAGCGAAGCACGATCCCCCATGGGGGTCGGAAGAGTGCATTGTGGCTACTGTCGTAGCCCGTGGTCTGCTCCAATCTGAGGCCCGCGACCCGCTCGCCGAGAATGTAGTCGACGAACTTGGTGAAATCTGCCATCGTCAAGCCCTGAAGCCAAGTCTTAGATTTATACCTGGACTGCATTGCCAACCAAGAGTAACCCTCAATCTTCAAGACTCTCCGGTAAGCTTCAGAGTTTTGAGGCATCTCGACTTTCTGCTTGGTTTTCGTGATGCGCAAATGTCCTGCAGGATCAACACTAGACTGGATGGTGGCTGTTTGAGAATCTCGCTTCGAAGTGATAGTATCAAGCTGTGCCGCAGTCGGCTCATTCTGCTCGGTCTCCTCTGCTTTCAAAGCCAAGTACTCTGCACTAGGTGTTTCGGTCTCGTTGAGCTTGCCATAGGCGGCCGAAACCGCGCGCAGCATGGCCTGCCTTTCCTGGGTCTGCAAGATCCTGGGCTGATTGAGTGCACGGGCCTCAGCCCGGAGTTCAATTTCTTTGGAGCTAATCTCTTTTGCAAGTTCCCACGCTGCCACTATAGCAGCCGTTTGCTGACGCCCTGCAGGCGTGTCTCTTGGCACTCCAAAGTCTGTGTTCGCAGCCGTGCGCGAACCTGCACGATCATCAGCGATAGCCTGGAATCTGCGAAGTGTGCTGTGCACGTTGCAAACTGCATACTGTGTGGCAAGTGATGCCCCGGCCTCCTGCAATACATATTGCAGATCGGCATCGACACTGTTGACTCTCTCACGCATCTCTGCCTCTGTGATTGCCATCCCTGATGCGGATCTTCAGCGCCTCCCTCGAGGCCTTTGCTCTGCAGCCTACGGTCTGGCTTCCCCGCTGAGCGCCCTCAGGCCTTTGCTTCAGCTTCCCAAGGTCTGAACCCTGATGCACTGCAGAGATCAGTAAATGTCGTTGCGCGCAACCCACAACAGCCTGAGCGCTCAATTCGGTACATGAAGCAGTGCGTCTGTCAGCGACAAGAACTTCAAAGACGGTCGATTCAAACTGGCATGAACTCCTCTTTTGAGCATGTTCCAAAACCAGCTCAAGTCAAGTGGGATCTACGCCACGAAACCGTTGCAAGCCTGCGATCAAGGTCAACAGCAAGCCTTAAAGGAGTCCTTCATCGCTCGAGGAAGTGGTTGCCTCCCCTGAGCTACTGTCTTCGGCCTTGTTGTCATCGGCCATCGACCTGATTCTGAGCTTGCAATCCTTACAAATTGCATCGAAATCCGTGGCAGCAACCTGATCAAGGTATACGACATCCTGACACTTGAAGGGCTTTACATAGCACGCGTGATTCACATGCAGTCTGCGGAATCCTGTCTTCTTACTTACACTGATAAAGTACTTAGCCTCCCCTTTCGGTGCAGCGGCGGTTTCCGGCTGGTCCTCCGCTGCCTCCTCAGTGATCACATGAGGTCCGGGGATGCTCTGCATGTAGAGGGGCGGGTAGCGCCCGCCAAGTCGGGGGTTTCCCCCAACTTTGTTTGCTCTAACAAGCTCATGCCTTGCCCTGACCACGGCACCAATCTCGCCTCGCTCTTCTGCGAAACTTTGCAACGCATCCAAAGCATCAGCCTCCACGTAGCCCCGCTCTCTCCCAAGCAAGACAGTCTCTGCAACCTGCTCCTGGATGCGATGCACTATTTGCCGAGCTGTTCTTGTGTAGTCAGCAGAGCCACCTCCACCGACCTTCCAGCGTCCAAGAAAGTCCCTGTCATCCTTAGGAACCCTGATGGCTGCAGCGATCGAAGTAAGAAAGTTCCTCGCTGAATGTCCAGAGAAATGCAGCGCACAATCCCCCGGAAGTAACAGACGCTCCTTGTTCTGTATCCAGCGGCCCTCGACCCAGCGCGGAACACAAAGCTCCTTGTAAATCTTTCGCACATAGAGTGACACTGCAGGGGCATCGACCCCTTTGTTGCCGCAGGTTTCCCAATCCTCTGAAGCTTGCAAAACCAAGAAATCCCTTTTGTCTTTGATCTCTGACCAAATCTCATGCCCCTTTGCCAGCCAATCCAAACCAGAGAGACTGGCCTTGCGGGATATGAAGACCTGCACCATGTTGATCCTTCGATCTGGGCCCGTCGTCTTTGTCTTCCAAAGTTTGCAAGACAGTCCTTCTATAGTGAGTCGCATGCTCTCTGGCCTCATGCACTGAACGTCATCGGACCTCATACTCCCCCATAGCATCAGAAGTGCAACAAAAGCCAATGCCCTTGCATATCTTGCTCTATCTTCGTCAAACACGTAAAGCTCGAGTGAAAGCGCCATCGCTACTGTAGGCTGGGCCGCCTGGTGCAACATCGGCCCCTTCTCCACCAGCTCTGCAGTAACATTCTTACTGTACGAAATCCACGTTGGATCTCTTGACAGCATATCACCTTCCCCGAAACGTCCGACCTGTTCCAGAACAGAAAGTGCCGCTGAAAAAGAATCTATGGTCGTCTTACCAGCGCCCTCCTTCACAGCTTCAGTAGCATAATCCAAGAGATCCTGCAGCCCGGCAGGCCAGACGCGGCCCTTCGAAGTCTCCAGCCATCTCGCGAACTTGCCCCACGAGTGAAAGCGATTCCTCAAAGTCTTTGACCTTCGTGTTCCAAAGATGCGCACACATGCCTCTTCAGAATCGGTGACTTCCTTCAAGATGTCCACTATTGGTGCCCTCGCCTCAACCAAGAAGCTGTACAAGAGAGTGGCATACTTGGCTTTAGCAGCCCTTTCCTCAGCCGCCCTCTTTGATGGATCCACGCTGTTCTCCCTTGCCTTTCTGGCCCTTTCGATCGCAGGCAAAAGCGAGAGAGGATTGCTATGTGCAAGTTTATCGTATGCCTCTGAAATCGTGGATGCAGGGACGGTATGCTGCCCCACCAAGCTCTCCGACAAACCTGCTCTTGCAATTCTCTTGGCACGCAACACTGAGCTCGCGCCCTCCTTATGCCATTTGACCAACTGATCCACTGCAAGCTGAACATTGCCTGCCCCCAATCCTGGCACCAGCACCTCTACCAATTTCCGTGCACCTTCGCTATCATCAAAATCATAATGCAGCTGCCGGGGGCTTGCAAAACATGACTTCAGCTTCGTCAGTAACTCCCCTTGGAGGGGAGGCCACTCGAGATCCATAGCACGTCCCGAGAGGGAGACTCTTGCTCCCTTCCTAAACAAAATTTATCGGGCCACGGCCTGAGCCTGACGTGGCTACCTGTTCAACGCTTCAACTTCGCGATACGGCAAGACTGATCTGAAATAAGATGGTTCGAAATCACTCAAAAGAAATTCATGCCAAAAGGAGAAAACAAAATCTGACCGAGGAAATTATTTTCTTTCAAGCAAGAGCACGGGATCCGCCTAAGATCCAAGTCCTCAGACAACAACCCCCCCCCCCCGCCCGTCGGCTAGCTCCGGACAGATCTACAGGGTGAAACCCGGTTTAGCGAACGGAGTGAACCCATCGTAGCAAAAGGGAGCGAAGACTGAGGGGGACACCAATGTGAATCAGAGCCTGCTCCAGGAGGTCCCGGCCCACTCTGTCGAAGGCCTGCGTCAGGTCGATGCTCAGCAGCATGCCGCCAGCACATCCCTTTGCCTGGTGACCGGCAAACTTGTCGTAGAGGGATCTGTTCTGTGCCTGGCTGAGCGAGCGCACAGACTTGCAGTGGATAAAGGCGTGTCCAAGAGCTTGTTGCACCGATCTACCAGGTAGAAAGCCATATTGATGACGAGCTTCCATGTGGGGCAAGATGTAGGTGTCGAGCTGCTTTCGGAGTAGTCCCGATACCGCCTTACCGACCGGGTCAAGTAAAGCAATCGGCCGGAGGTGCTCCGATTTGTTCCCCGCCTTGTTGGCCTTCTGCAGAAAGGTGAGCCAGGCATCGGCCCAGGCAGTGGGTATGTGAGCGCCGTTAGAGCGCCATTCCTGAAGAAGTCCTCGTTCCAGGACCTGCGACACCGGCTCTGCGACACAGCTCCAAAGTGCATGAGGTGCGTAATGTGCCGGTGCAGCTTTGTTCGATGGCAGGCTTGCAAGGGCCTGTTGCACAGCATCCATTTCGAGGTCAAACGTCGTGGCAGACGGTGCCTGCACTGGGTCTTCGGCCGTTGTGACCTCTTTCCAGTACGATGCGAGTGCCTGGACTTCGGCCTGAGGCATAAGAATCGCCCCCGTACTCGAACGGAGCTGAGCTCTGGCCTTCGGTTGCTTGGGCACGTGCCTGCGCAGCAGAAAGAAGAGATGATCGATACGTCCATGGTGATCCTGTGCCTCCGCATGCCGTAGAAGTTCATCAAAGCGATGTCTGCGAAGGAGCCGGCTGTTACGACGTACGATTTGGTGCAGCTGGTGAAACCGGGCTCTGCACCGCCAAGCCCGAAAGCAAGCTCGAAGACCTGAAGCACATTTCTGAAATTGTTGTCGGGCCAACCTGTACTGCAACCACATTTCCCTGATGGACCCTTCATGCTGTGCATCTTGCCATGGTGGGTGTAGCCCACTCGGTCTCACAATGTGGAAATGATCCCTGCTCGCCTTCATGAGAACTTGATTCACACGATCAGGGCAGAAGTCATGCATAGCTTGGAGCTCCCTGGAGACTTGTGCCTTGAAGTCCTGAACATCTGGCCCATCTGCTGCGATCCTGTCGGCTAGGAGCTTACACTTCCACTGCGGCCAAGCGGGCTGGGGTCGCGGCCGAGCGAATTGGAATCGGCGGAAACGCACTGTTACAAGCACGGGTAGATGCCTGCCACCACCTCTCCAGCGAGCCACCGGAAAGGTCACGAGCATACGCGCCGATGAGCTGAGCGTAGGACCTTTGCGTCGCACCAGCACGTAGTCCAGGAAGGAGCGGGTTTTCTGCGAGTGATGTTCAAGTATGTGTGTGTAGCTGCCCTGCTTACCGAAGGTGTTCACTGCCTGCAAGCCGAAGTCGTGAAGGATGGCCTCGAAGTCCTGTGCATCCGCCGACGGGGTCGGGTTGTTCGAACTCATACCTGTGCCAAAGAACGGGGCTTTAGGCTGCACCACGGTATTAAAATCTCCACATACCACAAGTTGATTGCCTCGGGGTAGCTGCCCCAAGGTTTGGCGGAGCGCTGCCCACACCTTCGATCGTTTGGCTAAGATGTCCGCTTCATTGCTCCAGCCACCCCATGCATGCAGATAGGCACCTACCACGTCCACCCATCCATGCTTATGTTGTGCCCGTACGTGGAGAAGTCGTCCTTCCATCACGTGGGAGTAGCGCACCGAACCATTATCAAAGACCGACCGTCTCAGCATGATCATAACCCCAGCCTGCGCCCGCGAGCTCGTAGCGTTCATGCCGCTCTGAACGCAAAGCCAGTCCCCCGCAAAGAACTCCGAACACTCCTTCATCCATGTCTCTTGGAGGCAGACAACATCGCAATCACAACCGCGCAACCACGTGTAGAACTCGTCCTTTAAGGTCGAGAACCCTCCGCAGTTCCAGTTTATCACCGTGATCGCAGCTGAAGCCTGGGAACGAGTGCCGGAATCAACGAGGGGCCTCTGTTCATGCTGTCCGCGGTTGGGTAGATACTGGGCTCTGAGCTCATGAGCTTGCATGATACGACCACGATAGCGAGCAAAGCCATCCCGACCTGCTCTTGCCAATGCTCGTTTGTATGCTCTCTTTCGGGAAAAACTGTAGCTGTTCTGGCCTTTAGCACAAAATTTCGCAGCATCGGGCGCCTTGTTGTCATCACGATGTGTGCTGCTCCTCAAAGACGTGTGCTTCGCCTCTGAACCCTCACCTCTGCTGTCTGGAGCACCCTGATGAGACCCAGACTTCACAGCCAGCGGACTTGGGACCGCTGCGGCCACATCGAGATCATGCTGTAGGTTTGCTGCATCTGTTGAACTCTGAACATGTAAATTGCCAGAAAGCATGCCAAATAGTGAGAAAATCGTGAAAAGCATGTAAAGAATACCCATGAAAAGTGGCAATTGCAAAAGACAGAGGCAACGACGGCTGCTGGAAACCATGCGAAGCTACGGCTACCGCTACCCCGCCCCAGCCCACCACTCGCAGCAAAAACAGTCTCGGGCCGAGAGGCTTGATTGACGGCATTCTCGGACAGGTCGTCGATGGGCCGCAATTTGTTCTTTTGTCTGATGGAGAATCTGCGCACGGGTATCCACTTGGAGTCAAACATGTTCTGCAGTTGCTCCCACGTGTAGGGTCCATGCAACCAACCTTTCTCGTCAGCTTCAGCACAAGTGAGATCCCAGAGCTCCTGATCATCCGGGTGGCTCGCATCGCCCGACACCTTGCCCCACAGGGCTGGCTTCAAGAACTTAGCGTGCTCAAGCAACTCGTCAACGGACATCGAAGAGGGTTTCGGGTCCACCTCAAAGATGCCTGTAAGCTTGGCCTCACCCACGAGCTCAAAGCCATTCTCGATGTCGTCGATTATCGTGGCATCAGGCCACTGTAAATCCTCGGCCACACGCCGCAGGAGGGTCAAGTTTTTGCGTGCAACTATCTTCTCGACATCTGGGTGAAGCCTCGCGTGCAAGGACGCCTCGGCTCCACGAAGTTCTTGAGACCACTTTTTCCATTTCGTCAAGGTGTCCAAGCGATGCCTCATGACTGCCAAGGGCCCTTTCGTGAGGGTGAACGCAAGAATCTCGAGCATCTCGTCCGGCACTGCAGAAGACAGGTCGAAAGGATGAGATAGAGCAATTGCTGTCCTGACGAACTCATCCTCGGTCCTGTAAACCCCAAAAGTAACCCTAAAGCCCGAATCTGAAGGACCCTCGCTATGGTGTTTGCTCTGGAGCCCGGGTCATGCGCACCTACCCAAACCCCTACCCCAAAAAGCTATGAGGTTCGGGCAAATATGGCCATATTTGGGGTAAACACAATTTCCGGCACGAGGTTCTGGGTTTGGAGGCCAACAACAACAATATGAGTTCATCTCATAATTGCAAATGTTCCAAAACTCTCTATTTCCGGGCTTTTGTTTACATATCAACAGAAGCAGCGGCGGACCGGTCAATAGGAGGCGATCACTTTCACTTGAGACTCGAATGATAGTTATAGCCCAGAACCTCATTTTCACTGCCAGTGCAGGTGTCTTTCGGTGCAGATGTACCAAATTGATGGAACTTGGGTCGTGTTTATTTCAGAAATAGAAACGATGCATTACCGCCATAAGAATGGCCCGGGCTCCAAAAGTGGCAACAGACGTCATAGTGATATTCTTACGAAATAGTGCCAACAGCGGCACCTACACGATAATTCGGATGGACACGGTGGTATGTTCAGCTTACAGCCACTTTTATGTGATGTTGCCCACAAAGCCATGAAACTAATGCTTCAAGTATTCGCGAACAGTTTGTTTTGCAGCTCGCACACAAATGTCGTGTCAGAACTGCGTCCCTACCCGGTGCAAACACAAAACTTTCCTCTGCTTTAGGGTTTGGGGTTTTAGGGTTAAGGTTTAAGGGTTGAGGGTTTTGGGGTTTAGGGTTTAAGGTAGGGTTTAGGTTTGAAGGTTAGGTGTTTAGGGTTTTTGGGTGGCCCCTCTCACTCACACGGCACTCGGACTCCCTGTTTTTTTCAACCGCCTGTCAACACGAGTCAAAACTAGGACTACGGCACACAAACCTACTGGTGGCCCTTTGCTCCCGTCAAAACTTTGGCACTGCAAACTCTTCTGGTTTGCAATGCCCTCCACACCTTGTCAGGGTGAGAGCTGGCGATTTTTTTTTGGCGACGGCTGAGACGGCGACGAGCCGCCAAACAAGGTTTGGATTCCTCGCTTGGTTACATAGGTGAACTGTTCATTCTCGCCAAACCACCGTTCGCCCTGGCTGCCCTGGCTTTTGGACGACTCCAGCTGATGGATCTTTTGGCTCAAGACGGCGATGGAGTCCTGCTGCGATTTCGTCGTGAGCTTGAGCTTGACATTCTCCTCTTTAACTGTCTCGAGCTCTTGCTCGAGACAGAATAACTCAAGGTCTTTGTCTCCCTCGAAAAACTTTTTGCTCCTCTTCAGCACATCACCTCGCGAAGCAAGCGGAAGAACTTTCTCACGAGTCTCGCCAAGGGCTTCCTCCCCATCGGAGACATCAATCTGCGATGGGAAGATCGGGGATTCCGAAGGTTGCTCGTCGGATGCCATGCTGCGCAACATGCTATTGTGGATCCCCGTTGTGCTCTCCTCGGTACCCTGACCTCGCTGGAGTGCTGCTCTGAGCCACATTTTGCATCCATGGACCCTCGTGCCGCAACAAACTAGACTAGCCGAGCTACGAACACATCCATACATGCACACACAAGCAATCACTTTCTCGCGGTCGGGTCACCCCTCAAGTCAGGCTAGCATCATGGAGGAAAACACGGGCCCAGGTCAAAATGCACTCTTATTACCTTGCATCTCTCTGATGGACATCATGTGCGACTACTGGACCCTGGTAAGCTAGCGCCTAGCACTCACTCTGAAAATGCCCCCCCCTGTGCACTGTGCATCCAGCATCAGTGGGGCTGCTGCGGCGATGCTCACGATCCAGCATCGCCGCCTCTGCTGTGCACTGTGCATCCAGCATCGGTGGGACTGCTGTGGCGATGCTCCGGTCATCCAGCATCGGTGCCACTGCTGGGGCGATGCTCGGGTCATCCAGCATCGATGCCCCGGCCTTTGTTTTGCTGGCCTATGCCGCAGCATTGTTCCCTCGGAGCCATGCCAGCATCTTGGAGTAAGAATCGCCATCCTGGAGACTGCCCTCCGACTGCATCTTCTCCAAGAAAGCTTTCATTGGCCCAGCCAGCGACTCGCGAGCCATCAGCATCCTGAGGCTGTGCACAGTCTCCCCCGAGGAAACCTCGAACCAGCACGTGTCTGGCGGAATGACGATGCTGCCTTGAGCCTGCACCTGAACCATCCAGCCCTTGGTCTTCACAAGCTGGGCCAAATCCTTGGCATTCATCTTCTCGAGCTTCTTGGGCAGCTCTGCCAAGGTCGCGGCCTGCAGGTGCTTCGATGGCACCCCGCCCACTGTGAGCTTGCCCTCCAGGCAAACCATGAGCATCGGGCAGTTCATGTCTGTCCGGGTCCACAACGAGGCTGTGCCCCCCAAACGCTGGCCGAACTGCAAGCTGAAGGTGTCCTGCATCTCGGTCGGGAATCCTGCCATCGCATCCCCCTCGGAGTCGCCAGTTTCAGGGTACTGCCGGATCAGCTGGTCCTTCAGCCTTTTGGCGACTGCTTTCTTGGATATCACCGCACAGCAGGAGTTCGACCCACTCGCCTTCATCTTCTCAAGCACCCACGACTGCTGAAGTCGGTAGTAGTCGAGGGTGGCCACTGTCTCGCAGAGGCTCTTCCCCCGAGCAAGATCGAAGGTGACCGGGGCCAGCTTCTCCAGCAGCTGCTTGGGGTTCAAGCTGTAGTCCACGCTGCCAAAGGAGCTTTCACCCGTCAGCTCCTTCGCCAATTTCTCGGCCAAGGCTTCCAGGGGCATGCTTGCTGCAAGCTTGCCCATCTTCTTTCCAGCGGCTGTTTTGGCAGCTGCTTTCTCTCGCTCGTTGATCGATTTCTTCGTCTTCGCCATCCAAATTCGCACGTCTTGGATCTTGTTCTTCACGTTCTTGCATGAGTCGTTGTTGGAGTGGAACCCCTTGAGGACCACTGCGATCTCCCCTCGGAGCTCGGCCATCTCATCCGCCGTGGTTGTGGCCTCCACTTCCTTCTTCTCCCACTCAGAGTCATACTTGGCGATCTCCTCACTCAGAACCGCAATAGCCCGGTCGACGTGGCTCATCTTCTCTTTCAGTTCGTCCTTCAGGTCCTGGTTCTCAAACTCACAAAGCTTGTGGCTCTCAGTGGAGAGTGCTGTGATTGTCGCCTGGTTCCGGAGGACAACATCTCCCATCGTTTGGATGGCCTTCTTCCGGGAGGCCTGCAGGGCCAACTTCTCCAGAGGCAGGCTCTTCTCGACGGCCTCGGCCTTCCGCTTTCTCTCCTCCTTTTCCTGCCTCTGGCTTTCCTCTATGGCAATTGCCTGCATCTGCAGATCCGCATCTCGGGCCTCCTCCAGTTCCCGCAGCTGGCTCAAATCCTTTGAAACCGTCAGCAGTGGGATGACGGACATGGGCTCGTCGCCGGTCTTTTCCGAGTTCGCGGTCATCTCCACAGCCAGCCTCGACCGGCCCCTTTTGATGCGGGAGTCGGACTCCTCCATGTACTCATCCAAATCCTTCTGCTCGGAGATGTCCATCCTCTGCCGCATGGCTGACTTGAGGCTGTGGGACTGTCGTCCACGGACTTGGATGCCCGAATAATCCAACACGAGCGCCTCACCGTGTTCCATTATGCTCACTGTGCTCGGATCCTGAAGCAACTTCTCCCAGGCAACCTTCGCCTCACCGAGACTCGAATAGATTCGGAGTGCCATTTCCTGAGCCGCCCATTTCTTAAAGGGTATGTAATTCGTGACATCGTCTCTCAGAGCCGCGGCCTCCCTCGACTCCTCCACGGATCCCACCGCGGACGAGAACGTCCTTTTCTTCTTCTGGTCCTCCGCTTGGCGGTTGACTTTCTGTTCGAGGTAGAAGGCTT